TTTTTTTTTTTTTTTGTCAATCAATAACTTATCGTTTATGGTAGATAGATTCCTAAATCCTATCTCACCCATGGATTCTTCAATAGTTAAATGTAAAAAAATAAAAGAAAATTTGATACTTATTACAAAATATGTTATCATAGAATTATATCAAATAAGATATACTAATCCTTTTAACAAAAAATATTTTGAATAATGTGAAGACCCATTTGATATCTATACTAGTATTTTTGCAATACTTTGGTGACGGGTGGGTAAAAATGCTTCTGGGTTAATCGGATATCCTACCCGTTTCTTAAATTCCTTCACAAAAAATTATTTGGATCGGGTTATATTTAACCCAACTCATCCACCGGATATTCCATATTTAATAATTTAGATATTCAGAAAATTTGATTAAGATTTATATTTATGATTCTCCTATCATTTTTATTTGATTTGTTTTTAACTGTTTTGAATTATCATATAATACATAAAATAAAATAAAAATCAATTATTTTTTCTGCATCTACTGTGATTCGAAATTTTTAAAACGGACATATATTATCCAATTGACGAAAAATGTATGTTCAACATTCCACATCGACTAAAATATTTAGACAATGATTCAGAATCATATCATAAATAAGTTCAACATTAATAAAATAAATGAGTTTTTTGGCGGAACGAGTTTGGCGGGACATGTTTTTAAATCAATAATATAAAAAATTAAAATATCATTAATCCACCGTTTCAATACATATTAAATCCTTAATTTTTTTAAAATACCACTAATATTAGACATATCAAATTAGTTTCATTTAGAAAAAATTGTATAAAACCAAAAATTGTCACGTGGTATAATATTACTTAGTAACAATTGTAAATTATAAAATATAAATGTCTTAAAGAATGATAAAATTTGTAAATTTTTATATATAATAAATAATCGTTAAATTTTTAAAATTACTACTTTTAGAAAACAAATCACGGGACGGGTTAAGAAATTACATGACGGGTTATATTTCAGAACGGGGTTATATGATGGACGAGTTTGAATCAATATTTATAAAATTTTAAAATATCATTAACATGCCGCTTTAATACAGACTAAATCCTCAGTTTATTAAAATATAAATGTCTTAGAAAATTATACAATTTGTAAACTTTTATATATAATAAATAATCATTAAATTTTAAAATCACTACTTTTAGAAAACAAATCACGGGACGGGTTATGAAATTACGGGACGGGTTATATTTCAAAACGGGTTTATATGGTGGACAGGTTTAAATCAATATTTAAAAAGTTTTAAAATAACATGCCGTTTTAATTCAGGTTAAATCTTCAGTTTATTAACAATTGTCTCGTGAACTCGTGGTATACCGTTACTTAATAACAATTGTAAATTATAAAATATATATATTTTATAAGGAGATATAATTTACAAAATTTTATATATACTAAATTTTAAAAATAAATCATCCGCGGTGTACCGCGGGTTAAAATCTAGTGGAGTAGTAAAAATCCATGGAATATATGGAAAAACAAAGATGTATGAGTGAAATAATATAAAAAGGAATGGATCTACAAACTAAACAATTTAAAGAACGAGAAACAAATAGAAACAAAAATTTTTAGCCCTGCATAATTTTTCTTCATCAATGAAGTTTTAAAACTAAAATTTAAAATTTTAAACCAGTACATGCCATTGGGCTTCTTTGAGAACGAGAGGCCCAATAAATAAAGTTGAAAACCCTTTGTTTCTTGTTCAAGAAACTAAGATCACAATCTACGAACAAGCTTCGATTCCCGATCTCCAGTTCACAAATCACAAGCAAGCTTCGATTCCCGAAACTCTAACTCTAGAAGTAATTAGACGCGATTGATACTTTGATTAAAGTTTGGAAGCATGGTGACTCTCTGGTCGGAGATCCCAATGGACATCTTGAGATCTGTGTTCGAACGTTTGAGTTTTGTGGATTTCCACCGCGCTAAGATCGTGTGTTCGAATTGGTATTCGTGTTCGAAACAAACTTTGCCTCGAAAAAACACATCTCCATGGGTGATTCTCTTTCCAGAGGAGGATGGTAATTGTGCTTTGTATAACCCGGAGGAAGCTAGGGTTTACAAAACAAAGAGAAACTGCTCAGGGACGCGATTCTTAGCAAACTCAGGTAGATGGTTCTTGGTGCTTGATTCTCGATCCAACCTCTATATCATAGATGTGTTTAGCGAGAAGAAGATCGATCTTCCACCTCTAGAGTCAATCAAAGGTGACAAGTATAATCTTAAGAGAGTCGGAGATAAAAAGTTCAAGGAGGTAGGAACCGTATATACCTCTTGTGTTATACAAAATGCGAAAGATCTGAGAGGTCTTTTGTGGGTAGACGAGAAGAAAGAGGTGTACGTTGTTGTTTGGTACTTCAGTTACAAGAATACGATTGATTATCTAGCCTTTTGCAAGAATGGGGAAGATCATTACCATGACATTCCAATACACTTTGGCATAGTTGATATGGTACTACGTTGTGGTGACAGTGTTTACGTCTTAACGACTGGTGATTACATTCGAAAACTTGATTTGTCTGGACAAGAATCCAAGAGTGATATATTATCACGAGTTCATATGCAATGTCCTCTGGGGTATTTTAAATTCACATATGATGAAAAGTGTAGAAATAACATTGCTGTTACAGTATCAGGAGAAGTTTTGTTTATCATGAGCATCTTTTCCGAGTCAACAAGGCGTAGGATCTTCCTTCTCTACAAGAAGGTTCCGAATCCAGCCCCGGGTAAGATTATTTACAACAAGCTTGTTAAGGTGGATTCCTTAGGTGATGAGGCACTGCTTTTGGATTTGGGTATCACCGTTCCTGCTGATGGTGACCTTGGTATCGAACCAAACTCTATCTATTTCACTCGTCATGATCGTATCCGTTACAGGAAACGTTCGTACCCGGACATATGTGTGTTCAATCTTGCAACAAAGACCCTCAAACGCTTCCCTGGTATATCCAATTTAAATCTCATGGATGCTCGATGGTTTCTCCCGTCTTGATTTGTTTCTTTTTTTCTGCAATTTGGTGTTCTTGAGAGATGAACCACACTTCAAAATATTTTCAGGCTTGTAGTTAGCAGTCTTGACATGGTGAATTAAACATCATAAAACCAAGTCATCTCTTCATAGACACTGAACATGTTTTCGGACAAAAACATATCAGTTTTGAACACATTCAAACTCACCCAATGTTTTTCTTTTTGGTTCTAGAAATTTTACTAAGTTTGTTTCAAACAATAAAAATTGTGTTTTCTCTTGTGCCAACCTTTTCCTGTGTTGAGTGACTAAAACGTTTGTTAATGTGAAATTCCTAAACTTGGCTTTTCCATCAACACGTATATATCTATTTCACAATATCATATTGAAGATGAATTATACGTATTTTTGTCGTAAATATACGGCAGTGATTTATATGTTAGGGTTATATATTATAGGGTACAATAGTTAGGGTTTAGTCCAGAGATGAGATTAGCTTATAATGAGTATCATATAATTTCTCATAGCAATTTGCAGTTTACCTACTTTTTCCATTTTTTCATTACGTATGGGAGGAGACTCCTACTTGTAGCCGCTGGTCAGAGCTCCCTAACGACATCTTGAGATATGTGTTCCAACGTTTGAGGTTTGTGGATTTCCACCGCGCTAAAACCGTGTGTCCGAATTGGTATTTGTGTTCGAAACAAACGTTGCCTAGAAAAAATGAATCTCCCTGGCTGATTCTGTTTCCAGAGAATGATGTTTGTGCTCTGTATAACCCGAACGAAGCTAGGGTTTACAAGACAAAGAGAGACTTTTCAGGGATCCGATTCTTGGCAAACTCAGGTAACTGGTTCTTAGTTCTAGATTCTAAATCCAATCTCTATATCATATAGATGTTTTTAGCGAGAAAAAGAACGATCTTCCACCTCTAGAGTCAATCAAAGGTGACAAATATAATCTTAAGAGATTCGGAGATAAAATGTTCAAGAAGGTACAAACCGGATATCCCTCTTGTCTTATCCATTATGCGAAAAATCTGAGAGGTCTTTTGTGGATAGACGAGAAGAAAGAAGAGTACATGTTGTTGTGTGGTACTTTAGTTACACGTATATTAAGGAGATAGACTTTTGCAAGAACGGAGAAGATCATTACCGTGAGATTCCAAAAGTATACATTGACTTAACAGATATATCTAATATGGTACTACGAGGTGGTGACAGTCTTTACGTCTCAACAAGAACTCACTACATTCAAAAACTTGATTTATCTGCACAAGAAGGTTTCAAGGTTGTGTCCAAGATTCATATATTAGTACCATATCTTCCGCGGCCATGTCTTGATAATGAAACAACAATTAGCAATAACATTGCTGTTACAACATCAGGAGAAGTTTTGTGGGTCATGAGCATCTTTTACAAAACAACAAGGCGTAGGATGTCTAGGATCTTGCATCTCTACAAGAAGGATCCTAATCCAGACCCCATTCACATTATCTACGACCCGAACCCGTTTGTTGAATTAGATTCTCTAGGTGCTGAGGCCCTGCTTTTGGATTTGGGTATCAACGTGACACTACTACCCTTGGTATGGAACCAAACTCCGTCTATTTTACCAGCCATGACCATGCTTGTAAAGATTGCTGGGAACATTCATGCCTGGACATCCGTGTGTTCAATCTTGCAACAAAGACCGTCAAACGCTTCCCCGGTCTCTCCAACTTAAAGCTTGCGGATGCTCGATTGTTTCTCCCGTCTTGATTTGTTTCTTTCTACATCCCTTGTGGTGATTCTTAAGAGATTTCTACACTATCTCTTGTCGCATTTTCTTTTTCTTTTAAAAAAACAGTTTTGGGACCTGAAGGCTCTTAGTTAGCAATCTTGACATGGTGAATGAAACATTATAAATTAAACATAGACACTGAACAATTAGTTGCCGGACAAAAACATTATAAACATGCAGTTACGTTCTATAGACTCTTCCATGTTCAACCTATTAACATCTTTTATTAACGGGTTTGAAAGTGAGTAAAACGGGCCGGCCCGTTTGTTTTTTCTTTTCTTTCTTTTTTTTTCCAGAAACGATGTCGTTTTGGTTTGATGGGTTTTACTTTTTTGCCAAAATGATGTCGTTTCAGGCATCTCTTCTTCAGTAATTTCGGAATCAGTAACTTTGCACCGCGAATCTTCTGTGTCTCTAAAGAGTTCCGAGGTTAGTTCTTCTTCTAGCTTGTGTTTCGATTGATTGAATTAGAGTTCTGAGTTTTTTTTAGAAGCTTCTATTTAACGATTGCGTCAGATTATTTAATAAAAGGATTGCAATCTTAAATCTGTTAGATGTGGTGTTGAGATTTTTGGACAAATTCTTGTTTTGATGTTCTACTGCAGATTTTTTACTTGTCTGGTGTAACTAAATTCATCAGTGACACCAAAAATCACATTCTCTTACTTTTGTTATACCTCTCATTGTCCATTTCTCAATTCTATCGTTTACTTGTGATAAATTTATATAGAAACAAATAAAAGCATGGAGACTACTAATTCTGGCCGCTGGTCGGTGCTCCCTATAGACATCTTGAGATCTGTGTTCGAACGTTTGAGTTTTGTCGATTTCCACCGCGCTAAGATCGTGTGTTCGAATTGGTATTCGTGTTCCAAACAATCTTTGCTACGAAAAACCGGATCTCCGTGGTTGATTCTGTTTTTAAACGATGGTGGTTGTGCGATTTACAACCCGGATGAAGCAAGAATTTACAGAACGAAGAGAGGCTTTTCCGGGATTCGATTCTTGGCAAACTCAGGAAACTGGTTCTTGGTGCTAGATTCTAAATCCAATCTCTATATCATAGATGTGTTTAGTGAGAAAAAGATCGATCTTCCACCTCTAGAGTCAATGAAGGGTGGTCTTTTTAGTCTTGAGCAAGTAGGAGACACGGCATTCAAGGCGAGATTAAATAATGGTAGTGCATATTCATTCCATAATGCGGAAGATCTGAGAGGTCTTTTGTGGCTAGACGAGAAGAAGAAACAATTCGTTGTTGTGTGGTTTTTCGACAAAGGTACCGAATATTTAGCCTTTTGCAAGAACGGGGAAGATCATTACCGCGACATTCCGATACGAAAAAATGTTGGTAAAGAGTTACAAGGCTTATATGATAAGGTACTTTATGGTGGTGACAGTCTTTACATCTCAACGACTCGTCAATCGATTCGAAAGCTTAAATTTGTTGGACAAGAAGGTTTCATTGATGTCTCCAACAGTGAGATATTACCATTTCGTAAAATCTCATTTTATCTCCCAGATGGAGCAAGATTTAGCAATAACATTGCTGTTACAATATCAGGAGAGGTTTTGTTGGTTCAGAACTTCTTTTACGAGGCAACAAGATATAGGAGCTTCCGTCTGTACAAGAAAGATCCTAATCCAGACTTGAATACTATTATCAACAACCCGTACCCGATGGTTGAGGTATATTCTCTAGGTGATGAGGCTCTGCTTCTAGATTTGGGTATCACCGTGTCTGCGGACGGTACAGTACTTGGTATCGAACGGAACTCCATCTACTTCACCCGTCATGACCGTGTCCGTAGTGGCCGGAAACATTCATGTCTGGACATCTGTGTGTTCAATCTTGCAACAAAGAAACTCAAACGCTTCCCGGGTCTCTCCAACTTAAAGCTCACGGATGCTCGATGGTTTATCCCGTCTTGATTTGTTTCTTTTTCATCCTTTGTGGTGTTCTTGAGAGTTTCCACACATTATTTTTATGTTTAGTTTTCTTTTGAAAACAGTTTATTAACCAGAATGCTATTAGACAGTTAAGCCTTTACTTTTTTCATTTATAGGGTTTACTTTGAGTCTGACCTCTCTGGTATTTCTTCTCCTTCACAAATTTTCTTTGACTCTGACCTCTCTGATTGCAGCTGTTAATTCCATCTAAAGAAGAAGAAGAATATTAAGAATACTTAAAGACTACTTAAGAACAGAAAACCATTGACAAAAATTCCAAACCTTAGGATAAATTGCAAGACTTTTCGTTGACTCTGGCCTCTTTGATTGCAGCTGTTCCATCTAAAGAAAAGAAAAATAAGAAGAATAGTTAAAGCCCATGTGCATTTGGACTGGGCAAGCCCACGGGCAGCCCGCCCAATTGACACCTCTAACTCTACGTGTCGGACTATGTTTGGAAAATGTGAATAAGTAGTATTATCATTTCATCACCAATACAAATTTGGTTTTCTTTTGTGCCAACCTTCATAAAGAGACGAGAGTTATCACAAAACTATAAGTTGTAAGTTGTAACCATAGCTCACAGGCTACACCCAAATACTCACTTCTAGCTTGGTTTGCGATAAAGAATCGTTTAACAACGGAGATAAAATGCTAAGTTGGAATTTCGGAGTAGATCTTTCATGTGTTTTCTATTATGAACCCTTGGAAAATCGCAGCCACTTGTTCTCCACATGTCAATACTCGGCGGAGGTTTGGTCGGGACTAACTACTAAGCTCCTCTCTCGACACTTCTCAACAACTTGGGAAACTATCATCAAGCTCCTCACATATACGTCTCTTGGGAATGAATACTTGTTCTTGACGAGATACACATTTCAGCTCACAGTACATTCGCCATGGGAAGAATGGAACAGTCGTAGACTTGGAGAAGTACCAACTCCCTCAGCTCAAGCAAGTCCGAAACAGAATATCCTCCATTCGAGAACAAGGCGATAAGAGATACGAAAGATAAGAAAGACGCATTCATCTTTGTTTTTATCTTGAACTTGATGAAAAAAAGATTTTTTTCCGAATAAATTTTACATTTTATTCAAATAATAATAATTAATAATTTTTATCAGGAAAAATAAAATCATAGAACGTTTGTGCTTCCCTTTAAATTAATAATCCTTTACTTTTTCATCCAGGGGTTTTCCTTTTTGTTTTTGGCAAAAACGAAACGCACCGTTTTAAGCATCTCTATTAAGGACGACAAGCAGAGTCAAATTCTTCTCCCAGCTTGTGTTGTTACTTTGGTTTCGATTAATATTTAGGGTTCTCGGTTTTTGCTCGATTCACTCAAATTTAGGGTTTAACCTTATATACATCGAGTCCTTGTCCCTTGCTATTTTATCGATTTCGTTAGAACGATTTTCTTGTCCTGTTGGGATTAACAACGTAAAGCTGAAGTGGTTAACCTTTGCTTCGTATTGTTACTGATAAAACCATGAAGACTCCTAATTCTGGTAACTGGTCGGAGCTTCCTATAGACATCTTGAGATCTGTGTTTGAACGTTTGAGTTTTGTTGATTTTCACCGCGCTAAGATGGTGTGTTCGAATTGGTATTCATGTTCGAAACAAACGCTGATCCTCAGAAAACCGAAATCTCCATGGCTGATTCTGTTTCAAGAAAGAGGTGGTTGTGGTCTATATAACCCGGAGGAAGATAGCATATACGAAACAAAGAGAGACTTCTCAAGGATTAGATTCTTGGCAAATTCAAGAAACTGGTTCTTGGTGCGAGATTCTCGATCCAATCTCTATATCATGGATGTGTTTAGCGAGAAGAAGATTGATCTTCCACCTCTAGAGTCCATCAAAGGTGGCTTTGTTACTCTTTCACGAGTAGGAGATAAAAAATTCAGCGAGAGGTTTACTTATGGTAGCGAAGAGTTCATCAAGAATGCTGAAGATCTGAGAGGTCTTTTGTGGGTAGACGAGAAGAAAGAAGAATACGTTGTTGTCTGGTTTTTCGATAGAGGTGCCAGATATATAGCCTTTTGCAAGAATGGAGAAGATCATTACCGTGACATTCCAACACAAATCGATGTTTGCAAAGAGTTAACTGATATGGTACTCCATGGAGGTGACAGTCTTTACATCTTAACGAAACGTCGAGTCATTAGAAAACTTACATTTTCTAAACAAGAAGGTTTCGTGGACGTGGCCAAGTTCAATGATACATTTCGTCAAACCACATATGATCACATAAGTGGAGCTATACTAAGCAATAACATTGCTGTTACAACAGCAGGTGAGGTTTTATTGGTCCAAAACTTCTATTACGAGACAACAAGATATAGGAGCTTCCGTCTCTACAAGAAGGATCCTAATCCAGACCAGAACCTGCTTGTTAAGGTATATTCTCTAGGTGATGAGGCACTGCTTATGGATTTGGGTATCACCGTGCCTGCCGGCAGTACCCTTGGTATCGAACCAAACTCCATCTATTTCACTTGTCATGACCGTGTCTATGGACCGGAACATTCATGCCTGGACATCTGTGTGTTCAATCTTGCAACAAAAAAACTCAAACGCTTCCCCGGTCTATGTCTCAGTAACGACGACTTGAGTCTCAAGGATGCTCGATGGTTTCTCCCGTCTTGATTTTTGGTGTTCTTGAGGGGGATTTCCACACTTTTTTCTCCTGTTATATTCTTTTTATTGCTGTGTCTATTATTCTTCCCTTTGTTTTCCAAAAAGTTTTTACGACTAACCTTAGTTCACCCTTCAAAACTAAGCACAAAATCGTTCCACTTTTTAATTATCGTTCAAAAATCTTGTTGCGTTTGAACCACTGCACATCTATTGACAGCTTTAGTGATGGTCGTAACAGTCTTTACGTCTCATCGACATGTCAATTCATTCAACAACTGTACTTGTCTAGAATAGGTTACATGTATGAGTGCAGATATTATCTCACAAATGGAACAACATTTAACAACATTGCATGCTGTTACCACATCAGGAGATGTTTTGATGGTCCAAAGCATTTTTGATGAGACAACAAGAGATAGGATTTTCCGTCTCTACAAGGGATATGTTATTACCTACAGTAGGGACCCGACTGTTGAGGGCCTTGAGGTATACTCTCTAGGTGATGAGGCCCTGCTTATGGATATGGGTATCACCGTGCCTGCTGACCGTAACCTTGGTATCGAACCAAACTCCATATATTTCACCCGTCATGACCGTGCTTGTTATCATGGCCGAGAAACTTCAAGCCCGGACATATGTGTGTATAATCTTGAAACAAAGACCCTCAAACGCTTCCCCGGTCTTGGTCTCGATCTCTCCAACAATTTAAAGCTTAAGGATGCTCGATGGTTTCTCCCATCTTGATTTGTTTCTTTCTGCATTTTGGTGTTTTTGAGAATCTCCACACTTTTTCTCCTATTTTTCTTTTTATTTCTACATCTAGTCGGCTCCAAAAGTTTACAACTACCCTATAGCACCAAACTAGAAGACAAGTCAAATTGGGTTTTCTTTTGTGCCAAAATTCTTTTTGTTGGAACTCGGTTTACGTGTTAGCAAGTTATAACAATAGATTATTTCCAAAAAATCGTTACTCAAACATAAGCTTCAAGTTATACTAACCTTCTCTTTGAAAACACTATTGTTTCTTTTGGTATCACCATTTTGTTATCGTGTGTTATTGTTGGAATTCAGACCATGAGTATGTTCTAGAGCTTTTTCACCAAATCGTTCCACTTTATCGTACAAAAATCTTTGTCCGTTGGACCACATTTTGTTTAACGGTTTTAGAAAAGCGTAAATGGGCCGGCCCGTTTTCCAAAAACGGGGCCGTTTTAGCTTCCCTTTAGTACTACGACAAGCATTTGGCAACAATTTTCGAGTTCCTCAAGCTTCTGTCCTGTGTTTCCGTGGTTAGTTTTTTTCGTTTCACTAAATTCGTGTTTTGATATTTTAGGGTTTGTTTCGATCGGAATAATTATAAGCATTGGCAGATTGGCAACAATGATCTATTACATGTTAGAAGCTTATACATAGCGAATTGCGTTACATTATTTATTTGATAAAACTCAACTATATAGCTGTATTAAACACATGATTCAGATAATGGATAATTTTTTTAATAGATCAGTGATTCTAAATTTTTGGAATTTTTATTTGCAGATATGGATTCTGAATCTCAACAATTAACTGCTCAGAGTGAATTTGTAGATATGAATGAGGAAGATTCTCAAATTGAGATCAATGAGAAAGAGACAAACAATCAAAGTGATGAAACTCAAGCAAAACGTAAGAGACGCCTAACTTCTTCTGTATCAGAAATGGGGGAAGCAAATGTCAAAGAAAAAGATAAAAGCATGGAGACTCCAAATTCTAGCCCTTGGTCGGAGCTCCCTGGTGACATACTAAGATCTGTGTTTGAACGTTTGAGTTTTGTTGATTTCCAACACGCTAAGATCGTGTGTTTGAAATGGTATTCATCTTCTCCCATCTTTCTTTGTTGTTTCTCTCCGCATTTTGGTGATAAGTGTTAAGAGTTTTGGAATGTCTCGTGGTCCTATATTAGGGTCTTTGGTTTTAATAAAAACTCAACTTCCAATGATTAACCTAATTTTCTAAGAGAGACTTAGGTTAAGAAAAAGTTTTGTTACGTTTTAATATCTTTTTACTTTCAGCTTTAGCAATGAGTCCGGTTACAAGATCTAAGTGTAAGGCTTTTGGCTCATTACATTTGGTGATCTTGAGAGATTTCCACACTTATTGTCTTCTGTTAATTTCCTTTATTTGCTTTGAAAACATATCCTGGACATGTAAGCTCTTTACTTAATTAGCAGTCTTGAACATGGTGAATGAAATATCACAAATCAAGTCATCTCTTCATAGACATAGTCGCACGACAAAATGCTTGATTTTTTATTTATAAAGTAGAACAGATAATCTTCTCTATATAATTAGCAAATTGTTTGAAAACAATAAACCTAGTTTTTTTTTGCCATCAAACCAATAAACCTAGTTATTTTGTTCTATAACATAGAACTTATACACTTTGGGAAATGAACATAAGCAATCATTCATCTATATTAGTATTTTTGATAGGGTCAGGTCGAATCATATCCAAAATTGTGAACCGGATATCCATATAATATTCCATATTTAATAATATAGATATTTAAAACATTTGGTTAAGATTTAAAACTATGATTCTCCTATCATCTTTGTTTGATTTTTTTTTACTGTTTTGAATCATCATATAATACATAAAATTAAAAAAAATTCTCAAATTTTTTTCAGCGTAGATTGTGATTCGAAATTTTAAAAACGGACATATATCACTCAATTTATGAAAAATGTGTGTGTTCAATGTCCAACATCGGCTAAAATGTTTAGAGAATTATTCAGAGTCATATTACAAATAAGATCAAAATGAATCAAAATCCAAATGAGCATAAAACTTAACTTAACAAGCATCCAAATTTAAAACTTTGTATACGGATTAATTCGTTTTTTAGTTGAACTGTTTAATTTTACCGAAAACATCAAATTTTATACGTTTAAAAAGTTTTATTATAATTGATATAGTTAAAATCAATAAAAATTTTATAATATTTTGAACAACATATAAAAAACACGGGACGTGTTATTTTGCGAGACGGGATTATATGATGGGACGGGTTTGAATCAACATTAATAAAAATTTAAAATTTCATTAACCCGTCGCTTTAATATGGGTTAAATCTTTATTTTATTATTTTTAACACCACCAATGTTAGACATATCAAATCAACCTTATTTAGATAAGATTGTATAAAACAAAAATTGTCATGTGGTATACCGTTATTTAATAACAGTTGTAAACTATAAAATATAAATATCTTATAAAATGATACAATTTGCAAACTTTTATATATGATACATAATTATTAAATTTTAAAAATCACTACCTTTAGAAAACACTTCAGAATATATATAACAAAAAAAAACAGTTGAATCAGGCCCGAGTACAAGAACGGCAGCCTATATTTTCTCACTAGGTTACGTAAAAAATTGTGTATTGGTAAAACTCAATCCCCAAGAACAAACTCTGTTTTTCTTTTTTACATCATACCTTGTGGTGGGTGATCAAATGTTCTTCTTGTTCAACGAATAAAATATTAAACTTGTCAATCTTTGCGTTTAACAAACCAACAAAAATAGATTCTGCCAGGGCCGGGAACACATAATATTCAAAATTTCTACTACAATTAGAAATCAATGCTACTCTTTATCTTTACTGCCTCGACAAATAAAAACCAAAAACGGCCATAGAAGCAATCACAATTTGGTACCAAGCATCCCTCACTGAGTGACCCATAAGCACATCGATCTGATGCTCTTCACCCATGAGAGTAAGACCATCTATTCTTTCCTGGATGCGGACAATCGATCGACCAAGCTCAATCATAATATCACAGATACATTAAACGAGACCATCTATTTGATATACCCTTGCATTAACCGGTAGGCGAGGGTGTCCGCCGTTGAGCTCACTATAAATCTCGGCAAGGTGAGAAATCGTCAGACCTTCCTCTCCTACATTCTCGTCAGGATCCAGGTGCGTCACAATCGTCCTGCACGAGGGACACATGAGGGTATCCAGGTTGGTCTCGCTAGTACAATATTGGTAAATACTAAACAGTAATATGAATATTTTCAAAAAAATTACATATTAAGTGAAAATTACATAATGGATAAGAATTTATGGATTTCTTTTCCGTCTAAAACATTAGAAACCCAAAAAAACTCGAACAAATCTATAGTTTAAAACAGAATCGAATCAAAACTGGGATATTTTTCATAATTATAGTACCACGAAACCAAATCACCTAATTACATACTAAATCTAATTAGGTGATTCATTTATGAAGATGGCTTCATTTAGATTTTTTTGAGTAAGCTTCATAAATGGAAGCTCTTTCAGTCTTCCAGTTTTCATTAATTAGTATGAATTGTACGATTTGTTCTCCAATGTCTTTTTATGGATTTTCGTGCGCAAAGTTGTAATCTCTGACTCGTCTTCTAACACTATTCAACTGTTTTCACTAAGATATTTGAGTGGGATGATAGTCGCATGAAGAAAGTATTAGTTTGTAATAACTAGCTCATATTGTTCTCTCATAAAAGTGTTAACCGACCTTGATTGTCGTTTAGCAATGTGTTTTATTTGGTTTTTGTTTTTGTTGGTTTTTCCTATTCATTGGTATATTTGTATATTTATTGAGGCAATTGAAAACAAAATGTCATTGATGAAGATATAAATAATAATAATAATAATTTACTTAAATTTTGGTTTGAAATTTTAGTTGTATTTTTTCAATAGTTCAAAAATATACTTTACCCAAGAAAAATCATGATTTGATCATATTGCTGAAAAAAGCTATTAGTAAGTCTTTCAAATACGAGGTTATTTGAGGGATGAATATGGAGGTGGTGAGCTTCTCCAATTGATTTCTCATAGGATTCCTGTAGTTGATTCTTATTTAGATTTAGAAAAAAAAATCTTGTTAATAATGCGTCTTAGAGTGCAGGAGTTAAAATTTGTTTGTAGTTAAGATTTTAGAATGGTAGTTACAACTTACAAAAGAAAGAAATGTCTATATCTGAAACTGATAATTGTACTTTCATTTGTTTATGATAAACTGATAATTCGTTTGTAGTTAATCTATTAAAAATTTTTTTGTTAAAAATGAAGTTAATTACAGTTTGCTCTTAAATTGAACGTCTGTTTTTGTTCTTATTATTGTTTAAATTTTTTTTGGCAGCGTCTGTTTTTGTTCTTATTAAAGGTGAAGATTCTCAAGTTCAATGTATAATGCAAATGCAATATAGAATATCAAATTCCAAAAAACAAGACCCATGAATCGTGTTAATTATTTTCTTATTCATTTACTGTGTTTTACAATTTTTAATTGGGGTTGTTATAAAGTGTAGATGTCATAAACCGTATTTGGTTTAAAAAATTGTAGGAATAATCATGGATGATTATATGTATTGAATCTAAGAATATATACCGATTTTTCTTTTATATTATCTTCATTTGTTGATTAAAATTATCCCTTTAATGAAATTATTTTCTTAAAAAGGCTAAAATTCAATGGCATGTATTGGATTTTAGTCTCTAAAAGCTCAATGCCTAGTTGAACCAAGCCCAAGTACAAGAGTTACAGCCCATAAAGAAAACTACATTAGTAAATAATAATATGGAAAATTTCCAAAATAACTACATAAAATTTAAAAAAATTCATTGATTTCCTTTTTTTAAAGAAGAAAAATTGTTGAATAAGAATTTATCGAATTCTTTTCCTTCTAAACATTCAATCTCCACATAGATAATTAAAGAAGTCAAATGGTAAAAAATCGGTAAAAAAAGGTATAATTACTCATTATCCATTGTATGTAAAACAAAAATTAAATTAAAATACATTACAAATTAAATGAATCATGAAAAAACTTATACAAATTAATTTTTATATAATTATTAAAATTCTTATTTTCAAAATAAAAAAATAAAAACTCCATTAAAACAAACTTCGCAAACGTTCCTTCTCTCCGCGCCTTTTCATTTCGTCACTCTCCTCTTAACTAATTTTCTCTTCCTCTCTCAAATTTTCTCTCTCAAAATTTTCCCGGGAAAGTATTTTCTCGAGAAAATTAATGGATAAGTTTCAAAACAGATTCACGAGATTCGGATTCATCTCGATTTGTCTCGGATCTATCGCACTTGTATTATTGATCTCTCGTTGTTCAATTTCTTTCTTCGATTACTCTCTTAAGAAATTTGAATTCTCGTTCCCAGAAACTGAGCTTCGAAGAAACGTTTACACTAGTTCCGGTGAAGAAAACAGAGTCGTCGTTGATTCTCGTCATGTTTCTCAACAGATCCTCACTATCCGATCTACTAATTCCACTGTAAGCTTTGTTTCTCAGTTTTTCAAATTCGAATTTCAAAATTTTCTCTGTAACCGTAATTTCAAATTCATCGCTTCCTCTGAGTAAAATTAGCTTGATCTTCAAAATTCGAATCATCATCATCATTATCATCATCCAAAATCTGATGATCGGAAATTTTTGGTGAATTCAGTTACAGAGTAAACCGGAAAAACTAAACCGGAGAAATTTGGTGGAGCAAGGATTAGCGAAAGCAAGAGCTTTAATTCTAGAAGCTTCTTCGAATCGCAACACTACATTGTTCAAAATTGATCTTCCAAACCCAGAAATTTATCGTAATCCTTCAGCTTTCTATCGGTAAGTTCTAAGTTTCATGCAAATCTCAGATTCCAAAAGTTTGAGTTTTAACTTTGTTGATACTACTTAGCTTTAAAGTCACTGCACACGGCTAAATTAGCGTGGATTTTAGTAGATTCTTCTAATTGACGCTAACGAATTTATGAAATTTTGTGTCAAATTAAACTCAATTTGATACTTTTTTCATGTACACACCACTGGTTTTGTATCATAGTCTCTGCAAAAAGCACATTTATGATGATGAACTTTGCTTTATTGTATTCAATATGATGATTTTTTTGTAGAAACTCTTTTCATGAAGATTATAAGATTATGTTAATTGTGAAATATATGTACTAGGTGGTGTAATTAAGGTAAAGTCTGTTATATGTGTCATTTTCACTAATTATGTCACTTACGGCTCAAGCTATATAGCTTACAGTTACACTATTACCTTTTGTCATAATCTGCTTATTTAATTCTTATAGAAATGTTACTTACTTACTTACCAAGTGTCAGAGAGATCAATAAACAATGATTTCGTTACTGTTTTTATCTGAAGTTGTGAAGATTGTTACTATTGCAGGAGTTACTTAGAAATGGAGAAGAGGTTTAAGGTTTATGTATATGAAGAAGGAGAGGCACCGTTAGTTCACGATGGACCGTGTAAGAGTGTTTACGCGGTTGAAGGGAGATTTATAACGGAGATTGAGAAAAGGAGGACGAAGTTTCGTACTTATGATCCTAACCAAGCTTATGTTTACTTCTTGCCGTTTAGTGTTACTTGGCTGGTTCGATACTTATACGAAGGAAATTCTGATGCTAAGCCTTTGAGAACATTTGTTTCTGATTACATCAGATTAGTATCTACTAATCATCCTTTTTGGAATCGAACTAATGGAGCTGATCACTTCATGCTTGCTTGTCATGATTGGGTAATTAACATTTTCAGTATCTGTTTGCTTATAAGCCAGAATTTTGTATAAATGGGTTTTTGTTTTTGTAATGCAGGGACCTTTGACTTCACAAGCTAACAAAGATTTGTTCAATACATCGATTCGGGTTATGTGTAATGCTAATTCATCAGAAGGGTTTAATCCTACAAAAGATGTGACTCTTCCTGAGATTAAACTCTATGGCGGTGAAGTTGATCCCAAACTCAGGTTATCTAAAACGTTATCAGCTTCTCCGCGGCCTTACCTCGGGTTCTTTGCAGGCGGTGTTCACGGTCCTGTCAGACCGATTCTTTTAGAACACTGGAAGCAACGTGATCCGGAAATGCCTGTATATGAATACCTTCCTAAACATTTAAACTACTATGATTTCATGAGAAGTTCAAAGTTCTGTTTCTGTCCCAGTGGCTATGAGGTAGCTAGCCCTAGAGTCACCGAAGCCATCTACTCCGAGTGTATCCCCGTCATTCTCTCGGTTAACTTCGTGTTGCCGTTCACTGATGTTCTTCGTTGGGAGACTTTCTCTGTACTGGTTGATGTTTCAGAGATTCCGAGGTTAAAGGAGATTCTGATGTCGATCTCTGATGAGAAATACGAATGGCTTAAACGTAACTTGCGGTATGTGAGGAGACATTTCGAGCTTAACGATCCTCCTAAGAGGTTTGATGCGTTTCACTTGACTCTTCACTCTATTTGGCTACGTAGACTTAACTTGAAGCTTACGTAAGGAGGACTACTCATAGGTAAAGTTCTGTTAGAATTTGTAACTCATATCTCAGAAATGTAGTAAACCTTAAAGTCTAGATTGAATCGATATGTGTGATGTTATTAGTTAAAGAATAATGAATTGCAACATTCTAAGCAATAAAAAATATCTAAATCTTTATACCATACTCATAATTACTAACTATTAATCATTTGGTTGGGACGAAGTTGAGAGAAAGGCGTTCGATCTGTGATCGAAGGATGTCACCAAGCGAGAAACGGTGTGGTTGTGGTTGCGGTTGCGGTGCGGCTGAGTCTGGCGGTTCATCCGATCCAACTGTGTCTGTTGTTCTGTCTTCATTCTTGACCTCAAGGTGGATCGGTCTCATCTCTTTCTTCACTGATTCCACAAACTCCATATCGATTTTGTTGCCGGAAATATCTCTGACGTAAAAAGCATTGAGCGACTTCTGGCCTTGTGTCTCCACGTCTGCGCGGACAACGGTTAAACCGTTCTCACGGAGTACACGAGTTATGTCAGAGAGTAAGCCTACTCTGTTCTCTGCGCATAACTCCAACTTCACGCCCTGCATTAAGCCATAGACCACACACCCAAATTGTTTACCATTCTTAAATAGAATCCAAACAGTTTGGTGAATGTTCCTCTAATTTTCTTCTGTCTGAGACATCTCAAAGTTAGTCATTGTGGATTGATCTCGTCTCGTTAACACAGAGAAATGTTAACATACCTCGCAAACCCGACGTTCTATTGCAGCCTCCAAGCATTTAACCACCCGTTCTTTCTCGCCTTCCGTATTCAATGCCCTTCCATCTATGTGTCTTATGAAGTATTCCTACAAGTTTTAAAACAAGAAATCAAAATTGAACCCTAAAGATCTAATGGTTTCAATAAAACTATATACACTCCTGGCCTACCTGAAACGCATCAGCTCCATCTGACCGTAGAGCGGCGTGAAAGATAACGTATTGCATATCAACCAAAGTGCAAATAGTATCAAACATGAGCCTTCTTCGATCCTTAGACTTCACTGTGACAATAGAGTATCCTCTCTCTTCGCAATTCCCAATCGAAACTATCGTTGTCTTCCTCTCCTTCTGATCACAGTACTCCAACTTGGAAGACAATAAGGACAATGACGAAGGCTCACAAAACGGTTCGTCAAAGTCTCTCACTGATAGCATTAGCTGATGCAACCGTCTTTCCACGTTGCTATTCATACACCCTTTGCCTTGTCCCGCAAGAAACCCATCCGTTTCGTTTTCCTTGTGACCCACGTGTGTAGAGTTGGAGGCAGGATCCGATGTGGCACGGATCACAGTACTGAGATGGTCCTCAATGGAAGCCAAGCGGCTCGGATCATCAATGGGAGTGTGAGTATTGTCGTCAGAGACATAGGCAATGCAAGCCAAACGAGCGTTATGGCTCCAAGCATGAGCTTCCATGACGTTGCAATGTAAGTCAGCAAAAGCAGCGAATATCTCCGAGAAGAGGCCCGGCCGGTCTGTCCCTGTCATCTCTATCGCTGTGTGTTCGCCGTGATCACTCAATGGAGGTTCCAAGGAATTGTTATTTGGGTTGTTATTCGCTTCACTAGCCTTTATAAAATCGGATTCTCGCCTACTCGTACCAATGGCCTACATTATCAGCTTCATCTAGTCACTACTCTACTCAAATCAAACATATAATATGGTTTATTCAACGATTCAATTTTAGCACAAACATGTTTGATGTGGTTGATGACGCTTTTATCAGTAAGTTTATTGCCATACTCGTCTTTAACATGGAAAACTGCATACAAGTAAGTTTCCAAAGCTCTTGAAATTAATCTGATCTATAGAATAAGAAAGAATGAGAGAAATGTTGATATGTATGTACCATCCATGAACCATCCACCATCGGAAGAGATATAACTCTTGGTGATTATAAGATTCATATCCGTCAAGATTTGCACCACTTCTAAAAGAAGCCCTTGTTTGTTCTCACTATTCACCTTCATTATTAAACGTTTCACATTAGAGGACACCCTAAATCACAAATCACAAGACCTATTCGCGCAAAGAACACCATTGAATCCAATTTTGTTTCCTAAAATGTCGTTAAATGATCATACAATCTTGTGTGCGTTACCTTCACAACGGTGCAATCTTGAATGCTGTCATTGTCAATATAGACCCTGCATCTGTAAATTACACACACACAAAAAAGAGGATCATGATCAAAAATGTTTATGGATTGTACATTGTTGTTCAACGAATTTATAACATAGGAGGAGAGACAAGAGCTTACGGTGGACCGTATATCCGTTCACCAAGATTGTCGAAATCAGGATCAAAGTAAGGCCAACAAACTTTCTGCATCGTCTCTACCGCAAGATCTGTAATTAGAATTAGGGTAAGAGATACAATAAGAAGAGTAAAAGATTCTCCACAAATTTGAGTTTTTTTTTTGTGTATATAAGAAACCGTTTTGGCAAAAAGTGTGAAGGGAAGAGAAAGATTAGATTGGTGTTATAGACAGAGAGGAGGGCGATGAATGAAGAAGAGATTTCCACCTATAATACAGAGGATTTAACAAGGTAGGCATTTACTAAGTTTAGCTTGGGGAATAAGTGTGTCATAACGTGTGGAAGAAGTTAGTTTTAGAGAAGATAATTTTTTTTTAAAGAAATTCTATTATAGATATATATATTCGAATAATGATAAAATCATTATAGAAACGATTCAAATATAGTGTAGATTGGTAGTATAGGTCAAGAACTTGTCAAAGTCAAAAACTAAGAAATGGTAAAGATACTTAGTGAAAATAAGGTGTTCCTTGTTTTCTTGCTTGTTCCTCTCTTTTTATTTTGTTAACCTCCACATGTTTTCCTAAGTTGTTGGAGATATTAAAGTTGCAAAATCTCTGCTTTGTGAAGTTTAGTAGGATTGAGATCATTAAATCCATGTGAATAATTTAGAAACCACATACACAAAAACGTGTGTTGTCTTTGAAACGGTCTCCAAAATTCACCAAGAAATGAAAATTTGACCCATGAGATTTAGTAAAATACTAAATACCACAAAATTTCATTACTTTTTACTATTCAATACTTACACCCATTTGGTGAGAAAACGTGTAATCCGCACTTGAACAATATTAATCTCCAAAAAATCACTCTTCCAAGTTTAGTTTTTTTTTTTTCTCTCTCTCTCTCGAGATAATAAATAGTGAGAGTTAAGGTTTCAATGAGTTAGGGTTTATGTGTCACCACTTTGCCTGTCCGGTAATATTCTGGCTCAAAACGAAAGAAATTCGAGGTCTATCAAATTATTCTTTTTTTTTTTTTTTAATGCTTATGGGGCCTTCAAATATATTTTTTCTCATACAATGCAACAAATTGCTATTTTTATTTTTATATTTATAAAATGGACCCGAATCTTTTTATTTATGTCAAATACACTTCTTAAAATAGATCCTTGAAGCCGAAAAAAAAAAATAGATCCTTGAAAATGTGTTTTATTAGATTTTTTCCTACATAGACCCAACACCTATATTTTCTTGGGTATATGTGCAGTGCAGGGCCGGGTACAAAAGATTGAAAAAGACAGAATTTGTTAGATTGGAGAAGTTTGCAAACTAGGAAATGGGAGATTAAGTGGGATTATTCGGAGAAATTGTTTACTTGGCAACTTCTCCGGTATATGATACGCCATTGAAATTGTTTACTTGTTCAGGTAATGAAGTGAATTACGAAAACGACCACCAATCAATTTCTTGTTGTTCACTCGATGTTTCTTGGGCTTAAATAAATTTAAACTTCACATGGTCGGCCCATTGGTGGTCCAATGATCTCATCAAAATCGATTACTTTGATCTTGTACGAATCCGACGGCGCTTTAGACCATGTACACTGGTGATTTTTTTTTCAGTATCATAAGCCCAAAAACAATTTTTTAATGGACCAAACCACATAATTGGACCTCATCCGTATCAGTCCACTGATACTTGTGATACTCAGTATCGTGTGATGTGGCAGAAGGCCATTGGACTGTGAATTTTTTTTTGTGGTGAAAACAGAGAAAAAAAAAATCATTTGCTCTTCTCTTCTCTCCTCTTCACTGCGTCTTGACCCGATTCTTCTTCAATGGAAGCGAGAATCATCCTCCAAATTCAAATCCCTTGGAACCCTAGTGTTACTGTGGTAGTATGTACGTTGTCTATCGACGCAGATTATTTAAAGCAAGAAAATCAAACAAAAGTAAAACTGTAACCACAAACAATCTCGAACTACACTATGGTTTCAAATTTGCATACAAATATCGAGCTTTCAAATCGAACTATCTTTAAGGTTTCGACTAGCAATTTTACAATTTTCATATAGGCAATGTTTAAAATCTGACAAAACTTAGATTTGAAGATCACAACAACTCATTTTATAAAATGTTGTACTCAAAATATTTAAATTTAGAAAAAAATAGACAAGAAAACAAAATGTGATTAAAGCATCGTAAAAGAGTATGTAACAAGAACCAAGGATCACGTTTCGGTAACAAAATGGGCCATAAAATAACACAAAACAATTAAAATCTTCTTACCATACAAACAATGTGAAGCCAATACCATCTACGTTTCCCTTTTTCTTTTGTCAGAGAAGCATAATGTTATAAATGAAATTTAGCTATACCCCTATATAAATTTCTAACTCTTAATGTTCATAGTTAAAACTTGATGATACATTGTGAGATGATACATAAAAATGTTAGCCTTATATTTCATTCTACTCGTATGCGTGCCTTTAGGTGTCATCATGACCTTTACCAGTCCTCGACTAGCCATCACTGTGGCCGTCACTCAGCCGGCGGTCTTAGTAATACAAAATTCCAATAATACCCTTACATCTCCTCGAGTAATTACTTCTCAGCCACTGGATCACGATGACTTACTCCTTCGTCAAGCTTCTAAAGTCGACCCAAACCCTTCGCCTAAATTTCCCAAAAAACTCACTTTCATGTTCTTAACAACGAACTCTCTTCCATTCGCGCCGCTTTGGGAACTTTTTTTCAACCAAAGCTCTGATCATAAGTCTCTTTACAATGTCTACGTCCATATAGACCCGACTCAAAAACACGAACCGGGTTTCTTTGGCACGTTTCATAACCGGATCATACCTTCCTCAAAACCGGCTTACCGGCATACCCCAACACTTATCTCAGCCGCACGTCGTTTACTAGCTCATGCGCTTCTCGATGACCCGTCAAATTATATGTTTATCCTTCTCTCCCCTTCTTGCATTCCTTTGAACTCATTTAACTTCACTTACAAGACACTAGTCTCATCCACAAAGAGCTTCATCGAGATTCTTAAAGACGAACCAGGGTGGTACGAAAGGTGGGCAGCGCGTGGACCCTACGCGATGTTCCCTGAGGTACCACCCGAAGAGTTTCGAATAGGCTCACAGTTCTGGACATTGACACGAGCCCATGCGCGGATTGTGGTGAGTGACGTGGAGATATGGTCCAAGTTCAACAAGTCTTGCGTAAGAAAAGACATATGTTACCCCGAGGAACATTACTTCCCTACTCTCCTCCACATGCGAGACCCACAAGGGTGTGTATCCGCTACGCTTACGCACGTTGATTGGAGCGTCAACGAACATGGTCATCCTCGGACGTATAAACCGTCTGAGGTTAGGGCTGAGCTTATACAAAAGCTGCGAAGTGCACGGCTTAGGTATGGCGACGGAAACCGAACGAGGAAGGATCCATTTCTTTTCGCTCGGAAATTTTCTCCGGCCGGGATCAGTCAGTTGATGAACATAACTCTAAATGTCATCTTTAACGATTTGGCTCTCGTGTAAAGTATATAATACGTTATATATGTTTAGAATTTAGGGGACTTGATTTGGTTTCATTTTAAGATTTTTCTTATGTTTAAACATGTATGCGTGGACGTACAATTAGTGTTATATATGAAAAGTTCCAATAATGTTATAGTTTTGCAGCTTTTGCTATAGGTCTAAAAGCTACTTTATAAGAAGGAAAGCTTTTGTACGAAGACTAAATATTACAAGATTCGATATAATTAGCAAATGGAAGTGGTAAAATTAGTAAAAGAATGATTGAAAGAGAGAAGAAGAAATCACAAGAAACGCGGCCGACCCTAACTTCCTCAACAAGGAATCTAGGCAATAACAACAAAACTAAGGAAGCGTAAAAACCTCTATCAACACCAAGTTTCGTCGTCTGATTCATACGAATCAGACAATAGCAAGAGACACTGCCTGGAATATACCAAACTTCATCCTTTGAATTGATTCGAATCCAAAACTTTTCTAAACCCTAAAATTCATTTGAGTCTCCTCCGAGTCATCAATCTCTTGAAACCCTGATTCCATGGTTTCTAGATTTTCATTGATCTTTGTTTTAAGATAATGGGAAGCTTTCATCGCCGGACATTTTCTTATGATAAACTTCCGACCGAACCCATTAGGCTCTCTGTTCTCAAACTAGATGGCTCTTCCTTTGGTAAATGCATCATCATAGTATCTTTTTCGTTTTGGTCACTACTTATTAGTTCTCCTTTGTTAACTTCAATTTTATTTTGATTTACTATGTGAAGATGTTTACGTATTGACCTCGGCCACCGTTGGGGATCTTAAGGTTGCCATAGAGACTGCCTTCAGCCATGTCCCCAAGAAGGGACCCTCCAAGATATCATGGTACATTTTTCAACTTTTATTACATTTTTCTCTCTTATTATGGTTACTGAAAATTTGACCCAAGAGTTTTTAATGGTGTTAGGTCACACGTGTGGGGGCATTTTTGTTTGTGTTTCGGAGGTCAGAAGTTAATTACCGATACGGATTGCATCGGAAGTTATGGGCTGAAGGACGGTGATGAGGTTTCAAGCCAAATATTCAATCTCATTTCATGAGTTGTGTAGAGATTTAGGCATGAATGAAAATTGGGTAAATAACAAGACGTTGTTACATACATATTTCAGGTAAGATTCAAAAACCATGTGTCAGGCAATGCGGTATTGAGCAAGGGATATTCTAGGAAATCGAAACAAAAGAATTTGTAAGTCTCATTCTTTCCTTTAATGGAAACACATTGATGTATCATTCCTAATAAACGATTTTTGAACGAGTATAGAGAGAGGGTATTGCCAAAGGATGTAGATGAAGTAATGAATAGAATTGAAGAGATTGATGACACTTGGGATGATCTCGAGAAAGGAGGCTTCGTGAGGTACAAAGATGATGACATGGACACTTCTTCAAATGAAAGCAGCAGGTCTTGTCTATCCAGTGTACGAGGTTGCTGCTTTGCTTTGGGTTTAAAGGAGCTGCTTGGGTTTGGTAATGACAGAACCTATTACTCTTTAAGAGATACTTGGAGAGACGATTGAATTTTTTTGTCCATTTTTGTTTTCTATTCGTAAGATTTTGTAATCACACAACAAAATGATCCAATTAAGGATCAAGTTATATTACAAAGGGTAGTATTATGTTCAGAGAAAAGCTTATATAGAGTACATAGTTACAACGATTCAGAAGTACAAGATAGTGCCTTAAACAAAAAAGTGGGAAAAAAACAGAGCTTTTGGCAGAGATACAAAACACAAAAAAACAACTCCGAAAGAGTCGTAATGGCGGACTAATAAGTTACACCGCCATTGCCAAAAGCTCTACAGTGGAAGAAGATAAAAGGCACTATCACGAACCTAAACCAAAGAACAAAGGACTTTCTACAAGAACTTGACTGAACATAGAGAGACAACAACTCCAAAAAGACGGTCAAGACTAAACCCTAAACTAGATTACCAGAACTCAGTGACAGGATTCACAGGAACACTAACGGTTGTAGAAGCAGACTCCTTTGTTTAGAAGGAACCAGCCAAAAAATTTAAAAAACAACCGCTGCGTCCTGGGAAAGAAACTAAGTTCTAGGTGGAATCTATGGGTTTTAGCGACCAAAACCTAGGAAAAAGACTTGGACTGATGATGATAATGATACTAAGGTTTTGTAGAAAAAGTGGGATTTAGTAGAGTATATCACACCTCCATAGATTTTCGAGAAGAGTATCCACAGTGCTGCTGCTGATTCTGCCACAACGTTGGATGTTTAGTCCCAAAAGCGTGCGGCCGAGTTTTTGTATGCATGCCTTGCTTTTGTCTGTAATAGCTGAGCAGCCACCAACAGAGAGAACCTGAAGATTCAGATGGTTGGGAGAAGATGCCAAAGCCTTGATTCCGTGATCTGAGACCAAAGTATTTGAGATGTCAAGGTCATTGACTGAGTAGCAGTTCTTGGCTACTGTGACAAGGCTTGCGTCAGTGATGTTCTTGCAGCCGTCAAGGTTAAGAGACTCCAATGTGCGTCCGTGGCAAACAGAAATTGCAGAGACTGTGTTGTCTGAAACATTGATGCATTCGCTCAAGTTCACCTTCACTAGACCAACATTGTTGCTCTGAAGTAACTCCCGCACACCTGCATCCGTCACTCCATTCAGTCCACAGAGTTCAACATCCTGAAGCTGATGACAGAACTTTCCCAAGAAAGCGAGACTTGCATCACCAAACCCAGGGCAGCATCGGATTGACAGAGAACGTAAAGAGCTGCAACTGGGTGATGGCAGAGAGGATTCAGAGTTGAAGTCACTGATGCCCAGACAGTTTGCCAAAGAGAAAGCCTTCAACTTTGACCCACAGTTCATGAGAAAACCCATAAGACCAAACTGGTTGATCCTGTGGCATTCTTCAAGTTTCAAACTTTCCAGTGACACTGCAGATTTGGCCAAAGCGACAAGTCCTTTACCAGAAACAAGCAAGCATTTGTTCAGAGAGACATGCTTCAGATCAGGGCAACCATTTCCAACAGCTTCAAGCCCAACATCAGTCATGCCTAGGCACGACATTACTGAGAGAGACTTCAGTTTCTTCAGCCCTTTCGCATTTCCCATAACCCAGAAGCCTTTCTCATTCACACCTTGAAGGCCATGAAGCACAAGATCAGTAACAGCTGCTCCATAGTGACCAATAACAGCAAGAGACAGACCAGATATGTTCAGCATCTGGAGTTTCACTTTCGTCAAGTAAGAACCAGCTTGGGCCAAGAGGAAGGCAACACCTTGATCTCCAATACGTGGGCAGCTCCTGATAGAGATTGATCTCAGATTGATACAACGTCTAGCAATAGCCCTTAAACCCTCATTCCCAACAGCAGAGCACGAATCAATCGTCAAATCACTCAGATTCATGCAATTCTCAGCAATTGCAACCAAACCATTGTCAGTTATTCCTGGACATCGAGAAAGGTCAAGTTTTTCAATCATCGGGCATGACCGTGCGATCTCAGACAAACCCATATCACTAACAGCAGGCAAGTTCCAAAGAGAAAGAACCCTAAGAGATGGACAACCATGAGCAACTGCTCCAAGACCAGCATCAGTCACTTTACTATCAAAACCACTCCCACGAATCTGAAGCTTCCCCAACCCTCCTCGACTCGATGTCCCAACCGCAATCGCTGCCAACCTCAAATCCGTCGCCTTCTTACCTTCCAAACTTCTTGACAAAAACCCTTCACCCTCAACATCTTGAACTGACTCATTCACTTCACTCCTAGTGATACTACTCAAAAGATTAAGCCAATGCTTGGAAACACAAGCGCAAGCACTCCTCTCTTCTCCAGAAGGTAAACGTCTGAGAATCTCAAATAAACACTCATCTGGCAATACATCGATCGACGTTTGCTTCTCCTCGAAACCGCTGAAAACCGTAGGCGCAGCGATACGTAACCTCTTACGCGCTGGGAAATACACGCCGGGACAGCTCCCTGGCGATAGATACATCGATCCCCCAAGGAAAAAATCTTCATCACCTATAAATCAAACAAGTAACAACTCCATTATTCTCAATTTCAATCTCAAGACTCTTCCACACTAAACAGAAACAACATAACTCGTGAAAAACCTAAAAAAAAACTTATGTAAGTATGTAACATAACAAAGCAAAAAAAAAAAAAAAAAAAAAAAAAAAAAAAAAAAAAAAAAACATAACAAAGCAAATCCACGAAATGAAACCAAAAGAGAGTCTAAAGCAGATCAAACCCTAGAACCCTAAATCAAGATTCCTAAATCAAGACTCTTCCACACTAAACAGAGACACAAAATTCATAAGAACACTTCAAAACAAACATAATGTAAACAAAGCAAATCCACGAAATGGAACCAAAAACAGAGTCTAAAGCAGATCAAACCCTAGAAAACTAAAGAACCCTGAATCAAGATTCTAAATCAAGAAACCACTACACCAAATTAAAGGATTTGAGGAAGCATACCACTAAATCTGAAGATTCCAGACATAATTCGAAGACGATTTGAAGAACAAAGACGAAGAATAATAGAGATTGAAGACTAAGAATCATGAAAACGAGAAGAACCCTAGGAGATTAGGGCAAAAAGAGAAGATTTTTACAGAAGAAATTTAGAGATATGGAGAAGAAGAAGAAGAAATTGAGAAACGTCTTTAATGGTGAGAGAGGTGTACGGTGGAAGTTGATGTAGAGAATAAAAACCCTCAAGTTCAATGAATACACGCGAAAAAGTCGATTTCTTCTCCACCTTCTTTGTTCCCACACCGAGCCCAATTGTTATATTTTTGTAATCATTTTTTATTTCATAAAAACATTATTATAAAAAGATATAATATAAATTCATAAAGTTTTGAAAAAGACTGAATACATTGAAGGAAGAGAAAAAGAAATGTCGAGTTACATGCATTGTTGACAAAAACATTTGAGAGATGTTGATTTCGTTGAATTTTTGGAATTTTAAAACCATGACACTAGCAACATGGGCAATAGTTTATTTGAGAAATAAGAGCAAGTGTTGGGTAATATCGTAACATGTTTTTTTTTAATGATGTAGGGGATGGATAACATAGTCCAAATCCAATGTTAATTATATATTTTAGAAGTCTTTTAAAAGCTTTTGGCTTTTGATTCGTGAATCGTTTGAAAAATTAATTAGTGTGGTGGATATGATAATTTTTCTAGATTTTCTTCTTAAAACATCATTTAAGTAGTATAATTATGAAAAACACCATTAAATATTTGTGTTTTTTTTCAACATTCATTATGTTTTTTTTTCACTCCAAGCTTTCGAATTATTTTTCCATAAAGAATGATTGAACAAATATATTTCTAATCGTAATTTAAGAAATGAAAGAAGCAAAAAATTGTTTTATATCTCCAAAAAAAATAAGTAGTATATATTATAAAATATACTTAAAGTTAAATGTACATGTGATTTTATATATGTTTTTAAGTATGATTTTTTATATCTATAAACATAATTTATATTTAAATTAATATTATTATTGATAATTAAAGAATTCAACATTTCATGAGTGAGGCTCTCTAGATGAAATTCATAATATTTTTTATTTTCAAGTTCAATGTAATATTTTAATGCACACGTCGTTTCAAAATCGTCTAAAAAAAATAGAGTTATGCTCTTGATTTTTATGTTATGCTCTTGATTACTTGATATATTGATATATCATAATATATATATATATATATATATATATATATATATATTATGATCACTTGTTGCATCATCATTTTACAAGTTGTCAGAAAAAATAAAAGCAAATGCTGGTGAGGTTTCAAAAGGAAAGAAAGGAATATAATTGTTAGAATGCAATGAAGGTGAGAGTTAAAAAGTTGACAAAAGTGGCTGAATACATCGAAGGATGCAAAAAGGTTCGAATACATGCATTGTTGACGCACCATTTTTTTTTTTTTGATTAATAAAAATTGTTGACAAAACCGTGGGAGGTTAAGTTCGTTGAATTTTTATTTATTTTCAGATTGAAGGAAGAATTATTCGGATAACATTGATTGCGACAGACAGAAATTATTTGTTTGTTTGAGATACTAAAACGAATGTTGAGGGTTTTATTGAAAATAAGAAGTATCACTCTAAAAATGAATGTCTATAACGAAAGTCATTCTTTTCCGTATAAATGGAAGTCTATTGCATGCTTATATACGTTGTTCATTGTTGTTTTGTTTTTTACTAAATTATTTTGATTGATATGATGAATTATATTAAGTTTTGGACTTCTAACTCAAAACCAACAAGTGCCATTTGAGTGAATTAACCAGCCTTTTTTCTATATATTATTCTCATTGTGAGATCATAACACGCCCATTAGATATGATGTCTCTTAGTACTATTCTAGTGCTTTCAAATATATTATTTCTATATATTATTTCTCATTCAGATCGTGCTAGATTGTTTACGTATTTACGTTTAATGTTAATAAGTTATTCTATCCAGCAACGACAACATAAGATGAAGCTGAAAATGACGTTATACACATGAAAAAAAAGTCATCTTGATAAATGATAATAGTCAGAAGTCTACAATTCGAAAAAGAATTCACTTTCTCGCGGATAATTGAATTTGGTCGAATTTTGTAGCACACCATTAACCATTTTTAGGTACAATGTACCGTACATAACATCCAAAAAGTCATAATCAGATTTTAACTTTATCAAAACATCGGAATATATAATCCACAATTCTAACTAAATACATATCACCAACCAGTTTAGAAAATAGCTGAACCACTTGGTCATAATTAGTCCTGAACGTTCCGTTATCCAATCGATTTCAGTTTGGTTCCATTCGATTTCGGTTATTTTGGTTCTAGAGTTTAGTATCCATTCGGGTATTTTAAAATTTCGGTTCGGTTCCGATTTTCTCGGTTTTAAAATTTAGTATCCATTCGGGTATTTTGCTTCGGATATTTCGGTTATTTTTGGGTATTTTCGAATATTTTTGGATATTTTTTTGAATATTGTTGAGTATTTTTAGTATTTATATATATTTTCAGGTATTTTAGATTATTTAGTATATAAATAACTAATACTTTTGAATATCTAATTGTATTTCGAGTATTTTCAGATACCCGAAATATTTCAGTTTGGTCTAGTTCTTTTGATTCTAGATTTTATTATCCATACAGATATTTTCAAATATTCAGTTCGGTTCGATTCTTTTTGCTTCGGTTCCGGTTCAGTGAATTTGTCCAGGCCTAACGTATAATAATACAATTCCCAGTGTAAGAAAAATCGACGTAACACAATGATTATTGTTACACAATAACAAAAAAGAAAAAAGAAGTCTAGTTCGGTATTTTCCTTTGAAATGGAAGTAAAATATTTTTTTTGTTCCTTGAGAGTTTTTACTTTCATCAGGAAGCCAGGTTTAAAAATCCAAGTTCCGGAAATTTTTGATTACACACATTAACGAGAGAAAAAAAAGATGAAACCAATTAAGTTTCAAGAGTTGCAAATCAATCATACAAGCCTTCTTGCTCCCACACATCCACAAGAAAATCGACCATTTCCTGCCACAATAACCATAAATCAACAAATCCTTAATCACGTTTGTAGAATGTGTAAACTTGCTGAGAAAATGCTTACAGGGAGAGGTATTGGACGAGAAAACCGCTTGTTCATACCCAACAAGCTCTCATATGTTGCATTCCAGCTGCAGAAAACGATACTTTAACTCAGCAAGTTCGAATAGGCGATAACTTTGATGACTAAAGAATCATCCATGAACTTATCTGACTTCAAAACTGTAAGAACCCTTATCTTATATTAACCTAAAAGCCTAAAGGACTAAAGAGAAGAATCACAAGACACCATGTAACAGCTTTTTGAACATGAAGCTCTTGTCAATCTTTGGATGACTTGCTGATGCATGTTTATTGATGGAAGCAAATTTGAAGAAAATGCTAGATGAATCACGCAATTTTTGTACTCATCAATCCCAAGGCTTTTAGATAAGAATTGATTCTTACTATTCTTGGATTAAGAAGTTTAATCCAAGAATCCGAGTCTTCCAGTTAGGTGGATGAGAAAGTCAAGTTGTGCCTTTGCTTTATTACCAAAAAGATTACTACTGATGGAAGCACTAATAGAGTAAAGTGACATTTTAACTATCTCATACTTGTAACTTTGTTCATCTGTGAATGCACATTAATGAATATCGCAATCAAATTGTTTTCAACACTTGATTCTTATTCATAAGGAATTAATGTAGAGGTTGAAGAGAAAGAAAGGGAAATCTAACTTTCACCAACCTTATTGTAGGTTCTCGAAGTTTGGCCTTTTTATGAGAAGTTCCATTTGCAAGCCATTGTTGCCTAGTTTGGTTCCAGAGGTTCAATCCTGAACAGGAAGAAAGAACAGACACAAACTTTTAAGGAAAATGACTGCACTGAAGAACAAAAATACGAATAAACAGAGCGAAGAATCATGAAGTAATGGAATTATAGCACCCCGAAAGTCAAAGAACTAATATCTGAAGATGCAGGCCAAAACATACCATTACAGAAGAAAGTGGAGGAAAAAATATTTAAGTTTTCGGCATAGAGAAATCCATACAGGTGTGAAAGCTTATTATATACAGGTCAGGTTTAATTCAACGTAGGTTTGATAGAGAATATCCATCAGTAACTAACATCTACGTGTCATGAGACGAAAGATTTTCATGTTGAACCAACAAATACATAGTATATTCTACAGAAATGTGCCACCAAATGTATTTTATCTAGTCAGTCACGAACTAGGGATCTTCCACTGATTGAGATGAATTAAATATAAACAATAATGTAAGCCAACACCTGCCTACATATATTAAAAGCGGGTCGACCATCCGAATGAGTAAGCTAACATCATAAGTAGATACTTTCAAAGTTGAATAAATGGTCTTTCACTTATTAGGCAACAAGCCAAGTAACTAAAATGCGAGAAAGGATCAAACAATGTGTGGAAATGTCAACTCACCGTGGTTTACAAATTCTGTGGGGTTGCTTGTACTTGCAGAAGTAGAAGTATTGTTAGTGAAGCTGATAGAAGACATGCTTCTCTGTGACTGAAGTGTGCTGTTATCCATCTCGCAAGTGCTTGTGCTCCAAAAGTCGTCTGATACGCTTGGCTTCTTCACTAAACGACCTTGAATCCTTAACCCTTTAGACGGCTCATCCACTGCAACTATAAGCGGTGGTTTATTGCAGCATCCAAAACAACCTCTGTACTGTTGCAAAACCACAACAACAAAAAAAACGCCAGTGAGAAGAAATGCAAGAACTAAGGAATTTGATTTGGAAAGACTCTTTGCAACCACAACCATAGATTCCACATAGAAAGATCAAGCGATAGTTTCTCGTTTTATCGAACAAACAACTCTGACAACAAGGGACACAAGGAAGTTCCTTTATCCTCTAAAGATTATGAAGTGAAGTTTCTTTGATGATCTTAACCAAAAGGTATTGATATTAAGAGCGATCCGACACTCAAAACACTTAAGAGAGCAAATGATTTCAATATTGAGTGAGATAAAAGATCTAGAGCAAAACTAAAACATGAGAGCTGCTTTGATTCAATTTATTTGCTTAAAATGCAAGCAACAACCATATATATCCACATAAGCAATAACCTAACCTAAAAATTAAGTAACAAACATATCAAATTCAGACTTTAAAAGTCAAAGTTTTTACACTTCAGTTTCATAAGATTCCTCTTCCTTTCTCTCAGTCATACACACCCACACAAAAAGATTGAAACTTTCAATTCCAAAAACAAGAAATTGAAGAGAAAGATCCTCACTTACCCCATGCAACCAAATAACTGGTAGATCCAAGAGGGAATAATTTCACAGAGATGCATCTACAACAACCAAATTAGTGATCTTCTAATCAAAACCCTGATTCCAGGTAAGAGAAGTCTCACAATCCTGCAAATTTTCAAAAAACCCAAATCCATCAAATCACTGAAATCGAAAAAAACACACTTTTTTTTTTCTTCTGGTGATGAGAAAAAATAACCTCAAAAATGGCATATTCGAGGAAAATTGGGATTAGGGTTTTGTTCCGCCACCTCCCTTGCAGCTAAATCTAAAGCCTTTATCTTTGTTTCTTCTTCTTCTTTGTTCGGTTTTTTTTTTTCTTCGTCTTCTTCTTCCTTTAGTTATGCGTGTGTGGTGGTTCTGCAACTCCCCAAAAATAAGGAATAGAAAAATTCCGTTTTTTTTTTTAATAAAGAAAACTGTCTGTTACTTTTATTCCTATTAATTGTACTTCAATAATAAATAAATAAAAAAGTTTATAAGTTATGGACCATATTAGGAATAAAAAAGTACTAATCTGATTTTTTTTAAAATCAAAATATCCTCTTTTTCATTAATCTGTAAATTTATAGATTAGAAAAATGAAATATCCAAATAATAAAGCATTATGACTTTAATTGATTCCAAAAGTTTCCTCTTTATATTTTTCTTTAATAATACAGAAAAGAAATATTCGTTCATGTGGCAGCCATTGTGATTAGGCACACACATTTTTGTTCCCTTTTGTTATTGTCACGATTACATAAATACAAGTAATCCTCTCGAGTGGAAGAGAGGATGTTGTTTTGTTTTTGGTCCCTTTTTTGGTGGATTGGATAGTAAAACAAATTGAAAGTTATAGATATCTAAAAAATCGTTAGACGTTAATCGGGTGTTCGAATAGGATTTAGCATCTACCCAACTAATTAAATATTTGTTTTCTAGTATATTTGTTTCTATAACAATTAATGAAATGACAAAACATTTTTTTTCATTTTTAATAATTTTTTATGGAAACTAGAAAAACATTATAAAAAGATTAATCAGCTGTTTAGACTAGAAAAATTATTGATTTTCCGTTTGATCAGTTTGACTAGAGCCAATGTGGCCTTATGGTATGGTCGGATTTTAGAATTCTTATATATACAATGAACAATAAACATTAATGAGTGAATATGGTATATGGATATTTTGTGTCGGCAATGTAAACAGATAAGTTGAATTGTGTCGCCATCTCAATTATTGACAATATGAAAAAAGTGCGGAGAGTTTTTCGTTAGGTGTTGTTATCCATATGTTTTGATCAAAAAAGGTTAATGAAAAGTCTAGAGGTAAATAACTTACCAACTATATCTAAAATAAGCCAATTTGGACAAAATCACTTATATAGATTTTGTTGTTTTAGTGGGGTTCTTAGTTTCTTGATTTGTTGTTTATATATTCTGTGAAAATAGGTTTAACTCTGAGGTTAGTTGAATGACATGCAATTATGAGTATGAATAGCATAACTATAAACCGAAATTACACATTTCAAGATTATTATGTTATGAAAGTGTTACATCACCTAAGAAGTGAGGATTGGAGGAAGATAATTAGATTTTTCACCTACAACCTTTGCGTTGGTATCAGGAAAGAACTCAGTCCCAGCAAGATTTGTTACTTCCCCGTTGCTACCAATGCTAATCGGATAACTAAGCAAATGCCCCGGTAAATCGTCATTTCGAGGATACTCTTGTGCTGAGTATAGTCCCCATAGCTCGTCTGCCGTTGCATTAACCAATCTTATACACTCTTCGCTTTCGGGGCTCTGAAACTTATGGGTTGTTATTCGTATATGTTCAAGCCATAGTGATATCCTGAAGCTAAATACTTGGCCCCCCGGCCTCCTGTTATGAGTAGATAGCAGATGGCTAGGTTGGTATGCTCCCATCGCGATCTCTGTGTCTCGACCTCCGTCCATTGACCTTTGGTTTATATTGGCTGATCCTATTATTAGGTACTCATCATCAACTGCATACAAATATACATATGAACCATGTTATGTTGTTAAAAGCTTTTTGATTGTTCTCAATAGGTTTGTTGCTATGGGCCTAACGAGATCACTTCGGTCTAAATGGACCTGGTCCCTAGGCTTTTGTCCCACCACAACAATCCTAGTTATGATGAGTTATGAAAGATAGATTTTTGACTTACCAATCATCATTTTAGAGTGGACATATATCATGAACCGACGAGATTCTTGAGCTCTTGCGTAGTCAGAATTAGGCTCTGGTTTCTCCGGAGGCAAGTATTCACCCGCCTTGCCAACTTCCCGATTCCCGAGGCAGAAAAACGCTAGGTAGTCTCTAGGGTTAGCATCTAAACCTTTCTTACGTAGTGCAATGATTATATCAGTATACATCATCTCCATTGTCCTCCTTTGCCAGTCAAGTATTGCTTGAACCGATGCAGAACCAGGTTTACCTTCAGGCCATAACGGAATCACTATATACACCGCAAACCGCTCGCCTGCCTCGATCTTGCTAACGATTTTGAGAGAAATCTCTTTAGGAATGAGTTGTAGTGCATTGATCTCATTTAAATCAATGTCTCTAGAGTTCCATCCAAAGGAACTTCCTAGAAAATATTGGTTCTCAATGTAGATGAAGTGCTTGGCTCTCCTTATGGCATTAACGTAAGCGTCTTGTATGCTTCTTTCAATTACGTTATCTTTTCCACTAATAAGTCCTATGCTTGCAGCTTCACGTGGATCCTCTGGAAACCCTTCAACTGCACCATCATCTATCGACCGGAAGACTTGGACCGTCCAGCCTTCTTCATTGTCTGGTTGTACAATCGGAAGTGGCGGAACCGTGATCTCTGCGAGTTGTGCCATTGATTTGAGGTACCTTCTACCACTACCTGTAAAAACACAAAATAAGTTTCTAATGAATTAATGATTGAATTCTTTGATTTAAAATGTTAATGCAAATGCCAAATTCAAACAAAAATTTTCTTAATTTTCGTTAGAATTTACAACTAAGAAAAAAATGTAAATGAAAAAACTACCAATTATTGTAACATGTAAACGCAAAAAAAAAACCGTTGAAGCCTAGTTATTTTGTTTCAATACCTTGTTTCATCCACCTCTGCTCAAAATTGTATAAAACATCCCACGCCGCAGGACCATCCAGCTTGCAATGAATATCGTGCCATGGCTCACGTGGACCGCCCTTTTTAATCGATGCGCCATCAAAGTTGGGCTGGTGAAAGTCATTAGCATGAACACTATTTAAAGTACCAAACAGAGGATGCTCCTCAGTGTCGTATCTCCCATCACAAAGATCAATCCCTCCAAGAAAACTTACTATCCTTCTCTTGGTTATTGACCCGTCCACTTCACCGTCCACCACAATCGTTTTTTGATGGTGAGAAAACATCGTAGCAACCTCGAACCCTTGCACAATGCTATCACCGTTATCCGGATTCCGCGGACAGAGAACACAACGCACTTTCGTGTTTTTGAAGTAATCGTAAGTTTCTTGATCATGAGTCATCATCAAGCCGTCTCTCTTAAAAATTTCGTTAGACGTTCTATCGTCCCACACAAGCATCAACACGGTCACGTTTTCTTCCGCTTTCTTCTTAAGCAATTCACCTAACTTCAAATCCCCTCCCGGTCTCGTCCGTTTAGGATCCCTGACCAATGTTACGCCGGTGTTCACCGACCAACCAGCAATGTATATCAAATGTTTTGCATCCCATATCGCATCGAAAATCTCTTCCCAACACCGATGATGCTTGTAAATAACTTGTCCTTCCGCGAGAATATCAGGGTACTCGGGAATAACGTGAGCGTCTTGGTAAAGTGTAACTTTGCAACCTTCTCTTTGATTGAAATAAGCGTTAGGAACTCCCTTGAAGGAAGGTAATATAATACCTTTGTTCCAATCCACGTCCTGTGTCACATGATTGAACTTGACACGAACATGGAGTTTGGAACCTCCTTGGATTGGTCTCCTATTCTCATCTAAAATATCGAGCCATCGGTCTATAGGTTGTCCGGTGATGACTTCGGTGACAGGTAAATAAGCTCGACCGATCAAACTAGCACTGACCGGTTCATCTTCTTTAATTGTGAATACGATTTTAGAGATTGAATGTGCCGTGTAGACATGGAAGGATTGTAACCATTTAGGATGACGTCTCATCATGGTTCGAGCCACTCTTGACCTATCTAGGTCAATGGTTGCGTAGAGATTTCCTCCAAACAAATTTGTGCATGAGTCCGTTAGTCTTTTGATTTGGGATTGAGTCTTTTTACCCGTTGGCTCCTTGCTCCCCTATGAATCATTTTGAGTTTTGTTTTACAAGTAACCTTCGTATAATATAGTAATATTTCTTATTTGTTTAAATCGATGTTCTAATAGAGAATGGTGAAATTAAATATCACCTTGCCGCATAAATTGAATCTTGAACGTTGATGTAATTTATCGATCCTATAAATCTTCACTTCAAGAGTTCCATGAAGGAGCAACTGTTCCGTCATTATTTCACCTGCAAATTCAAACATATATCTTATATATGTATTTCGTGGAAAGTGGATGTCTATATTTTTAGTGGATGACTAATAATTATAAGAAAAAAAATTGTGTATTAATAAAAAAATAACAAACCTCAATGGGTCGAGAAAATGTGCCTTTTGAGGATCTTTTTGGAAAGGCTCAAAACGGCTTTAGCAATTAGAGTTATGTAAACGTAAAGTTAGAATTTAAGGAGAGAAACGAATTTTGAATACAAAACGTTTGGATTAGGCCATTAGGGTTGTTGATTACTTGAGGAGACTACATAGGATTACAAGAAAGAAATAGATGGATTCTTTCATGGGTTTTGAGACTATTTTAAGTAAACCTTTTCTTGTAGGCCAAACCCAAGACAAGGGAAATCCAAAACGGAATATTCGTTGGAAATTAATCTTACTACTCACGTCTACATTTCTTGATGTATTAGGGATACACTTTATTCCATATCATTCCATTATTATTTTTATTTAGATGAGTATCCATGTTATTATTCGTTGGAAATTAATCTTACTACTCACGTCTACATTTCTTGATGTCCTAGGGATAACACTTTATTCCATTTCATTCCATTATTATTTTTATTTAGATGAGTATCCATGTTATATACATGGATTTTTTTGTTTTCTAAAAGTTCCTTTGACCATTTTTATATATAACCCTGACTATTATCAAATTTTCATTGGTTTTTGTAGATCTTTTTTTTACGACATTTCAATGGATAGAATAACTTGTTTTTTTTGGGGTAATGCTTGTTTTTGAAAAAACATTTCAACTATAGTAGATAGAAGATAAATAAATTTTATAACAGTTGATGTATTTAATGTGTTTGTTAAATAAATTTTCAGTTTAAAATAATAAGATATTTTAAATTAGTTTATTAAATGAATGTAAAATATGTTGAATATTTGTTTTTTATTCATAGTTATGATGTCGATAATACGCAATGGGAACTAGCATTCTAACAAGCGAATGGTAGAGAAAGTAAATACGATAATTCGACTAGATGGATTGGTAGCCAAAACTAGATGGAAGTAACTCGTAAACCTCAAACTTCATTTAAAAAATAATGGTAAATAACAACAGTATCATAATCATAAATAACCAAAAAAATCAGAAGATGAAGACAATTCACTATCTAGGATACTCTCATATGGTATCGATAGATCAGAACCTAACCCGGATTCACCACTAAGGCAAATTGTAGTAACATAGGAAGAACTAAATTCAACAAGACCAGTTAGACCAAATGCCATTCTCTTAGGTCTCATTATCATAATCAAAAAAATGTTGGCATATACTATAACCTTCAAGCTCTTATTCCAACAAATGTATGTTAAGCAAAAAAAACAAAAACAAAAATCTGAAGTTTTACCAAAATCCAATTCTTCACCTTTTAATCCTCTGGCTCATTCTTCCTCCCACCTTCATTTCCTTCCCTTTCTTCCAAAAGCCGACCACTCTCTTCATCAACTTGCTGAGCAGTCTTCTGAGCATCTTTAGCCTTCAATGCTTGTAACTTCGCGTGATTATAGTACGCAACACCCAAGAAAGCAATCCCATAACCAAAAAGATTAATAGGAGTCACAGTGTCCTTAATAACCGACCACGAAAAGGCGATCAAGAGCCAGTCCTTAACCACACCAGCAACATTCATGGTCAAAGCAGAGGTTTTCCCAACCAAAAGGAACACAGCTAGATTCAAAGCAAACGCACAGAAAGAATTCGTCCCGAAAATGAGGTAATCGAAATGGAAGCTAGAGGTATCTCTCAAGATCGGAAACTCCACGACAATCCAAGGGATAAACAAGAAAGCTAAGCAACAAGGAGCAACGTAATAAAGAGAAGTGATTGGATTCAACGTGATTCCTTTAGAAGTAAGCAAGATCTGAATCATTACCAACCGTGTCGCCTCGAAAGCAACCGCACCAAGCTGGAGAATCACACCCCAAACATCAAATCTAGCTTCACCATAAGCAGCAATGGCTACACCAAATGAGATCGAAAGCATGTTAATCATAGTTTCCGATTTGAAACCCTCTTTCTTGAAGAGCACGCCAATTGAATAAACCGCGACTGGCATTAACGCTTTGAGCATCTGAATGAAGGAGACAGAGAGGTAAATGTAGGCTGAGTTAGAGAGCCAAAGAGAGAGTGAATACAACGCGCCGATCGGGACGACGGATCTGAGATAAGTGTCACGTGACATTGAGACCGGTTCAACAAATTTGAAGACCTTGATGAGAAGAAAAGCTAGGGTTGAGCAAAAGGACATGTGGATCATTGTGAGTGAGATCGGGAATGGCCAATCGTACATCTTCTTGTCGAGGATGTATTTGTTGTAGACGATGACGGTGAAGCTTAGGAAGATCCATATTGCTACGTATGTGTAGGAGATGATGATGTTTTTAATCACACCTTCGCTTAGTGATCCACCTTTCCCCATATTCGTGATGTTTTTGCCTCTCTTACGACGGTGGTTCTGCGGCGGAGACGGTGGTGGTTTCTCCGAAGTTTGTGAATTTTGGTGAGATCCTGAAAAAACGTTTTCAGAGTTTACTAAAAGAGAGAGAGTCACACGTAACGGAAGTGATTCACCAATTTATAATTGTTTTCGGTTATAAATAAAAAAATAGTTTCGAGTCGTTGTTCAACTTCAATTTATTGAATCTGAAGGTAAAGTATACGTATTCAATGCAGTAGGAAATAATAGAGTGATATAATTAGCAATATTTCAATTGGAAAAAGAAATTTAACAATATTCATTAGTGATGTACAATTACAGAAAAAAAAACAACAAATTGATAAAATAATAAAAGTAATGAACTAAATTACGTCAAAATAAAAGTAACGAAACCAATTATATGTTAAAACGACCAAACCAATCAATTCTGAACTAACAAAATAGTATAATTTAACTCTAAACCGGCCAATACAACTGGTTAGAACTTAAACCAGCATCTTCTGTCCGATGTAAGACGAATCTTTAATTTGTTACATGTTTATGTACTTGTAAAACTTATTAGATCTCTAATATAAAATATCCAGAAATAGCTAGAGCCTACAGCATCTTATATAAAATAAAATTCAAAAAAAAAATCTCAGGTAATCCAAGTGTCTCCATCATATATGAACTTGAGATGCTAGCTAGACTTGGAGGAGGTGCACATCAGCACTTGATAAAATGTTTCAACTTGAGCTAGTTGATTTATTTTACTTCGCTTATAGATTTATTTAACTCGAACCTCTTTTTTTTATGTTAAGATGATTTACTTAAACTTGTCTATGAAACTAAGTCAAAATCGCCTTTATTATTATCACGTACATGCCTAAGTAAAAGAAAATAAAAAAAAAATCAAATATCATAATCATTGTTTTAAAATAAAATTCTATAAGCAATGCTACATTGCTAAAGTTTTTCTGTTTTAATTAGAATAAACAATGAAGGATGCAAGTTTGAATTACAACATCAAACAGAAAAACAATATATCCTCGGAAACTTAACCCAAAAGAGGAAAGCAAGAGCCCTAAATTACATGGAAACTATTAAAGAGAAATGTTATAAATCACAATAAGCAAAGCAAATGATAAGGCCTGAACGAAGACATCTAAAGAACCACGACGTGCTAAAATCACTCGCACCAACCATGTAGAACAAAGCAAACCACAATAGAACTTGCTAAAGTTTTTTTTTTTTTTTTTTCCGCCAAAACATTGCTAAAGTTTATCAGGACACTTTGGAGGAATATATGTACTGTATATGTACATAATAAAAAGATTTATTTCGTTCCAAATGAGACTTAGGGAATTAATAATCCTATTTCTAAATGGGAATTAGGATATGGAAATGCGTATAAAAATTCTGAAACAGAAATGGGACAAAACGGAATAGGACAGGACATGAACTTTACCCAACCCAGGTAACCATGTTAAAATAGTACTCCTTTCTTAATCAAAGTAGGACTAACACTCGAATCACAAGAATCTGATTCGCAGATGTGTTTAACAAAAGTGACAAATCTCTTTCACATTTAATGTTCATTATTCTTTGTATTAAGTTCTTATCACCATGACTAGTCTCCTGTAATTAAATCATGTCGACAAATTCAACAGAAAATATCAACTACTCCATAAATAATTAAATTAAAAAGTAGCCATCAGTTTAAAACCACAACATATATTTTGAAAGAAAAATGTTTAAGTATATATACGTACTTATTTCTATCTATAGAGCTATCATATATATGTTCGAAAATTATTAATTAAATAGGTACGTAAATAAACTTATACCCTCGATTATTATTAACACTCTACTATATTATCTTGATCATATAATTCAATGATTCTCCTTTAGACCTGTGCAATGGATCCAGAACCAGGACAGGTCCAGTTAAGTAACTCCTCGATCATCTGCATCGCCACTTGATCATCTTCCTGAACGTTGTCGTTTCGTTCCTTCATCTTATTAGTCCCAATATCACCACCGGGACGTGCGTTAACACTGTCATCTAGTTCAACAAGCTTGACCCAATTTGGACTGGTTTTCGATCCGGCGCGGTTCTGCCAGACGCCGATGTGTGAGCTGTCGTTGTCGAGACGGAGACACGTTAGATATGGTGTCTGGTCTTTACAGTTCTTCCTTAGCTTAGCGTTCAATAGTTCCGACAATGATTTGGGAGACCTTAACGTAGAGTTAACCTCCAAGGAATCTGAACCGTTGGATTTGATGATGGGGAAGTTAGTCTTCGCGTTCTGACCGTTCATTAGAATCGCGGCTTGGTCATAGGCTCTAGCCGCTGTTTCCGCCGTGTCGAATGTTCCTAGCCACACTCTTCTCTTCCTGATAGCTCACATAAACGCACATTAGTTACGTAAACAAAAAACACACATTATATTCAAACTTCAAAGTATTGAAACAAACACACGACAAATTTGTTATATAATGTTACTGATAATAAATTTGTCGTACTTATATAATGTTATATAGAGTGTTATATAAAGTACTTTTTCATCCATTTGTTATATAATGTTACTGATAATAAATTACTGATAGTTGAAGAGGCAGAGCAAAATGTCGATTTGGATGAAAAAGTACGAATCACAAATACCAAGATATATGATTCACAGTTGCCCTAAATACATATATAAGACATAGAAAATACATCAGTATCAATTATATGAGAAAGCATTTATTTATGTACACTCAAAATTTCAAATACAACACACCAAAGGTCCAAAACTACAAATACTTAACATATGTATTTTTTTTTGATAACCAAATACTTAACATATGTATACGTTAATAAACGAGGCTTTTTAATTGGACAAAAATAAGGAAAACGACTTAAACAAAAATGCAAGCTATTATTGCAAGAATCTTCGGAAATATAATCAATGATCGATAGTCATTCGTAAAAGATCAGAAAATTTGCCCTACAAGTACTACTACACCAAAAATATAAACTCTACACATATAATGGACTTGTATATGATCAGTATTGATGCATAAACATATTTATAATGTTGTCTCTGTTTATAGATAGAGGGAGAGAGAACTGACAAGAGAGGATGACGAATCTCAGAGACCCAAGAACCCCACTGACGTTGGCGGACACCTCGGAACTTCTTCGAATGTACCATTCTGTTGTTTTAAATTAGGGTTCTTAATTTCTCTGTGTGTTTCTGACACGAACTAAGAATAGGAGAGAAAGAGAAAGAGAGGGAGAGAGATTCCTCGTCTCTTATCTTTCTACCTCCAACTACTCACTTAACTCTCTGCTATTTTTATGGTATTTATTGTCTGTTCTCTCTCTCTTTCCCGTGTCATGGGATTATTGGTTATATATAACGTTAAAAAAACTACATGACAAGATAGTCCAAGTACGAATACTTGTTTTGCTACACATAATTAATCTTTTTCCATTTGATTATACTTGTCATTCTACAATGTTAATGATTAATCTACAACGTAAAAATACTTGATGTCAGTCCATAGTCCATACCATAAAATGGTACCAAGTGATCTATCAATTGCGGACGGAACGTAAAAATGTATCAATTCGTCTCTTTTCTTCATTAATTATGTGAATATTTGATAATAAGAAATGTTAATGTTTTTTAAATAGATCACGTTTTATTGTTAGCGTTTGACGCTAATGCAAACTACCGACTGAATACCAACGGTGCGTTGGGCTAGTGGGTTAAGTGCAGAGGTTGGATCCATGTGTTCTTTAGTTCGATTTCCGTTGGGAAAGATATTTTACGCCATGTTATAAGGTATTAGCAAAGGTCGGCCTGAGCCATGGGGGATTAAGACCTAGGCCCAAACCCCCTCCTAGTTAACAAAAGAAAAGAAAAAATTACCGACTGAATACAACCAATTACGAAGCATAGTGGATTTTGGTAACCAAATGCATAAAACTGTACTATAGTTAATTATAATGATGTCCCATGTGTATTCAATTATTCATAGATGTCTTTCTATTTATAAACCTATATTAACTCATACTGATTTTTGTAAAGATTATAGAAGACTGATCACATCCCAAACCTCTTTCCTTCGAATTTATTCCGAGTTACATAGCAATTCAAATTTTATGCTATTAAATTTTACTAACAGATAACCTAAACAATGACGTGAAAACTATGCCAAAACAAGGTTCATTCATCTATTTAATTTTCATTGTTTGATTTCTTGTAGATCTACTAATTCGACACAAAACAGACCTCGGTTATATGTACACACAGACAAACGCTCACCTATATCTCTTTCGATCATCTACGTTTATGTTACTACGGGTAAATAAATATAACTGAGAATAACTAAACAATATTGTAGTAGTAACGTTTATGTTACGTTACTACGTTTCACTTATCAATTAATGAAAAGGCTAGAGAATTGTCGGTGCGTCGAGTGGTAAAGTCCACGGATATTTGGAGTAGTAGTTGTCCATTAAATGAAATGAACGTAAAGGAGACAAGAACGATTTAAACCTTAAGCTTGAATAAATGAATTCACCAACATATGCTAAACGTACAAAATTAAATGAATAAGTTGAAATATATATAAGGATGTGACAGCCACATTAATATATGAGTCTATGAATGCAAATGGGACAAGGCGATGCAGGAAAGTTGCGGTGGTAATCCTTTTGTTTTTCAATATTTAGATGTTTAACAAATATCAGTTTTGAGTGATTTAAAATTTATACAACAATTCTAAATTTCATTATATTGGTTAGAGCTAAATTATTTTAATAAAAATTTAATTATATTTATTCATAATAAATTTTTGGTTTAGAAATGACCAATTCTCACAAATAGTACGAAAAGAAGTTTTATTATCAAATTTATCACAAAATTTCTATAGTTCCAAAATATAACACAAATTCAATATTAAAATGACTAATATAAACATTTGATTGACGTTTCAAAGGATTGTAAATTATCGCAATTTCAAATTGTAATTAATGTTATTATTTTACATAATAGATAAAAGTGAAATAGTTATTGTGTAAATTTACTAAATGCTAATTTTGAAAATTTGTGGAATATGTATTTTAATTTTATATAGACCTTGTTTTAATATTATTTTAGGATATTTCTTTATTATAAATTACTCTCGTTTATTTACGAAAAAATACGTATAATTCATCGTGTGAAATACCGTGAATATATATTGTGAAAGATCTTTGTTTAAATGGGTTTTTTCATATATTCGATGGGGTTTGCACTACCCTATGTGGCCATATCCAATAGGCTTTTCACATTATTCCAAAAGTTTTTGGTCACTCAACACAGGAAAAGGTTGGCACAAGAGAAAACACAATTTCGTATAATTTTTACCTTGACTTGTGTTGTTTAATTTATGTCAAGACTGCTAACTACAAAGCCTTCAGGTCCTGAGAATATTTTTAAAGCACCAAAAGTGTGGTTCATTTCTCAAGGACACCAAATTGCAGTAAAAAGAAACAAATCAAGACATGAGAAACCATCGAGCATCCTTGATCTTTAAGTTGGAGAGACCAGGGAAACGTTTGAGGGTCTTTGTTTCAAGATTGAACACACAGATGTCCGGGCATGAAAGTTTCTGGTAACGGACACGATCATGACGAGTGAAATAGATAGAGTTTGGTTCGATACCAAGGTCACCATCAGCAGGAACGGTTATACCCAAATCCAGAAGCAGGGCCTCATTACCTAAAGAATCTACCTCAACAAGCTTGTTGTAAATGCTCTCACTCGGGCCTAAATTAGGATCCTTGTAGAGAAAGAAGATCCTACGCTTTGTTGACTCGGAAAAGATGTTCATGACTAACAAAACTTCTCCTGATGATGTAACAGCAATGCTATTGCTACACTTTGCATCATATGTGAATTTAAAATCCCTCGAAGGACCTGGCAAACGAAATCGTAAAAGTATAGCCTCATTCTTGGACACATCCTTGAAACCTTCTTGTCCAGACAAATCAAGTTTTGCAATGTAATCACTAGTGTTTAAGATGTAAAGACTGTCACCACAAGATGTAAGTACCATATCAGATATGCCAAACTGTGTTGGAATCTCATGGTAATGATCTTCCCCATTCTTGCAAAAGGCTAAATAATCAATCTTATACTTGTCACTGAAGTACCAAACAACAACGTACTCTTCCTTCTTCTCGTCTACCCACAAAAGACCTCTCAGATATTTTGCTTTTAGGATGACAAAAGAGGTATATCCGATTTCTAATCTTACCTCCTTGATCTTTTTATCTCCGACTCTCTTAAGATTATATTTGTTACCTTTGAATGACTCTAGAGGTGGAAGATCGATCTTCTTCTCGCTAAACAAATCTATGATATAGAGATTGGATTTAGAATCTAGAACTAAGAACCAGTTACCTGAGTTTGCCAAGAATCGAAATCTTGATAAGTCTCTCTTGGTTTTGTAAACCCTAGCTTCCTCCGGGTTATACAAAGCACAATTACCTTCCTCCTCTGGAAACAGAATTAGCCATGGAGATGTGTTTTTTCGAGGCAAAGTTTGTTTCGAACACGAATACCAATTCGAACACACGATCTTAGCGCGGTGGAAATCCACAAAACTCAAACGTTCGAACACAGATCTCAAGATGTCCATAGGGATCTCCGACCAGAGAGTCACCATGCTTCCAAACTTCAATCAAATTATCAATCGCATCTAATTGCTTGTTGAGTTAGAGTTTCGGGAATCGAAGTTTGTGAAATAGTTGTGAACTGGTTAAGGAGATTTGGGATGTATATTGTGATTTGAGAATCTGTTATTGCTTATTAGGTCGAGTTTCTTGAACAAGAAACAAAAGGGTTTTCATATTTGTTTTTGTGAAGTTTGTTGGGCCTCTCGTTAGCAAGAAGCCCAATGGTATGTAATTACCACTGGAACATCACTTGGTAACCAAAACTATATAAATATAAACATTTTATCTTTTGAATATAGAAGTGTAAGATCAGAACAGACATGACTTTGTACTGATTTTTACAATGGCTCAAGAACACTTGCTTTATTAATGAGTCTACAAAATTTTATAACATTTTTACTGTAAAGGACAATCTCAATGTGTCAAACTATTTCATAACTGTAGAGACCAAAACTGATGTCTGAAACTAGGACTGATCCACCTGATGCAAAATGCTGAAGCCAGAGAGTTGTGCTGACTTGGTCATATCAGGATAATCCAAAATCCGCGGTTTCATCTTGAGAATAGTGTTGTGACACGTTCAGGAGATGTTAGTGTTGCCACTCTTTTAAACTGTCAAAAATTCATAAAGAATTAGAGACCAAATTCAGTGTCCACTTTCTTAGATTAAGTTCATTGTACCTTTTGTTGGTTGTATTTGTTGCGTATAGCGATAAGGGTGCTTCCACTGGCGTTGAGCTGCAGATCCTCCATTGCAAGTACCGCGATTTTTAGAGCGGATGTCTCATATCTTGTATAGTGTTGTAGAGTTGGGTTCTGTAAGCAATAACGTTCAAATCACCAAAACTGTTTTCTCTCTGAAGAATATGAAGAAATGTGAGCTCACTCACCCAAGGATGGTTAGATTGGTCGAGTGTCCATCTTGCTAAGAAAACCGCTGATGCGGCAATTAGGGATGGAAGGAACCTTAAGAAAGTATATTCTGTAAGAGTTAGCTCCGCGAAATAGTTTGCTAAGAACTCCATCTCAATGAGGGGAACCTGTGAACAAAAAAAATCAGTTTACTGATTCCAAGTTATTTGAAATTCTGAGAATGATTAGTGAAATGAATCAATGTAACCAACCTTATCAGACGCTTGAGCTGCGTGAATGAACCGCCTGCAACACAGAAGAAGAAAATGACTATAATATTTTCAAAACATTAAAAGAGACAATGTTAAGTATTGGTGCATTTTGATGTGTGTAGTGTTTACCTGAGAAACGTTTTTGTGGTGGGAACTGATAACCGAAAATGCAGAAAGTTTAAAACTTGAATCTCCATACTTAGTACCTGAAAATAATGGTGTTTTTAAGAAAAAAATATTTTTAACAAAAGTGAATCATCTTAGATGACACTAATATAGATGGATTCTGCATGTTAATTACTTCTAGTCTTGTGTATGTATTGTCTGTAATGAAGCAAAACTCCTCCAACCGCGGTGCACAAATCTCTTCGTATTTTCTTCAACAAGAAGTTACAAGGAAAAATGTCTTAGTTTATGGAGAAGTACTAATCTTCCAGAGTGAAACTTGGAATCAAACATGTGTTCCTCAGCATCCACTTATACTTCAGGTTTACACTCATTGCATTGTGAATGCTATTAAATAGAATCTTGCTTCAAAAACTTGAAATTGTAGAAAGAGTGAAATGGGAACTTACGAGGCTATTAGCATGCAAGTGATACCAAGTAGCTGAAGCCTCTGCTTTTCAATGTAATTATGAGACATGAATCGATCAATTAGATTCACGGTAAGGTAAAGTGTATCTGAAGTCAGCTTGTACTCTTCAGAAACCTGAAAGAAATAACATCAACAGAGTTTCTTAGTTTAACAATTCAAATTTAAATTAGCTCCACAACTTCAAGTAAAACTATGCATAGCAAATATTGTATTCCTACCTCCAAAAGCCAATCAATCAGAATTCCGCGCATATTTGGATCGATATCTCGCTGCACTTGTACCATATAGCTAGTTGAAGGTCTTTGTTCAAGCTGTAACAAAAAGTAGTGGTAATATAAATAACTCAAAATCTCAAAATGTAATCATCTTTTGGGAAGATGGAATAAGACAGAGTATTGGGATTATGTAATGCAAACCTCTGCAACATGAATGCTATCATATATAGTTGCAGCATATAAGCTACAAAACTGGGGATCTTGGACATTGGAATCTATATCTACAATCTGAAGATAATCCGCGACATCCGATCCATCTTCTTCTGCACAATCCAGTAAATTTTAGTAACAAACATTTTGGTATATGCTTCATTTAACAAGATTCTCTATTTTTGAATTCTATCATTGCATTCTTTAGTAGTGAAGTTTCTTACTTTGCTTTGGAGCAGAGGCATCTAAAGATTCAACCATTCTAATCTTTGACAAATCTTCTGCTAATTTCGATTTTTCGGCATCCACATCTACCAAACCATCTTCTCTTATTTGCTTAGTCTCTTTTCGACCTCGTTTGCAAGCCTGCCACATTGTATCATTAAGAACAAATTCTAAATGAAAACATTTACTAATCAAGAAAATGCAAAGAGAGCTTAAGAATTTGCTACCTTAACATTGCCTTGTGTAGAAATTATACTTTCTGCCAAAGTGTTAGTCACATCCTTGAGCACCGCCCGTCTTTTATGATTACAGACTGTGGAATTATCTGATGCCACTCGTTTATTACTCGGTCTAGCAACACGCTTCGGTTCTTGTTTAAAAGCGGGTTTTGAGGGAGACATTGACACTCCTAAGGCTTTAGCTTTTGATCTAGTGACTCTCACATTATTATCTCGAATTTTCGTAGTAGTGATTGCTTCTTTCGTCGCATTACGGTGCTTAGAAGAAACTCTATACATAATTTTAAACTGGAACTCGCCAAGTCAAAACCTGCAGAGTCAACAGAATCTAGTCTTCAAAATTTTATTACAGTAAACAAAATCAATCAGTATTAAAAAATGGAATAAATGAATAGCAAACAAGTAAATCAAGTTTCTAACATCAAATTTCATCTATGACCCCAAAAAATTCTATACAAAAATTCACCTCCCCGATCATATGTAATATAACATCAAATTATTGATCATTTTTCTTAAATGTTTCTGTGACAATAACAAGAAGAAAAAAAAAACACACACAAGAGATCAAACCATTGTCTGAATTTAGTAAAACATAAAACATAACAAAAAAAACACTTAGAAAAATAAAAACAGAGGAAAAAAACAGATCTGCAAACCAAAAACGTCAAATTATGAACGAAAAAAATAAAATAAATCATCGATCGAAGCGAGAGACGTGTAAAATGATGTAATACCTTTAGAGATTGAGAATGATCTACAATGGCGAAGAGAGAGTGTGTAATAGGAGGAGCGTGAGTGTGAGCGGGATTTTTGTGGTCTCGTTTCGAATTTCAGATATTAAACTTTTTGTTTTTGTTTAAAGTTGAAAAAAAAAAAGAGAAAGAGACTTTGGGATTTGGACAAATGATAAAGTTTTGGATTTTTATTGGGAAGTAAGTGACAGAGTGGTTTTTCTGACACTTTGACGTCTGGTCTTGTTGTTGTGGTAAATTCTCTTTTTTTTAATCCGAGATTTAATCAGCCGTTACGCGCTCTATTCTATTGCATTTGTTCCTACTTACACTATTCAATGTGCCCCATGCTTAAACCGTTTCATAACCTAAAAGCCTGATGAAAAAAAAAAAAAAAAAAAACCTAAAAGCCCATTGGACAATTTACTAAAACCCAATCTATGTTTTATTACAATTTTTTTTCTCTAATATTGAAGAGGAACATGAACATCGTCACAATTTTTTTTCCTAATATTTTAGAACCCAATCTATGTTTTGTATATGTTAACGATGGTTACAGAAATGCTAACTGCAGTTAAAACTTAACCCATAATATTTACGTTTATATATATACAATCTCTTTTTAGAAGTTTACTAATAAATTGGCTTAGTCAGGTGGTTTCATGTGAAATGAATAGATTCATGCGCTTGAGTTCAAATCCTCAACTTGTTCTATTTGACATATTTTTTTCTTAATTGTGAGTTCGAGAGAAGCATAGAGAGAATAATGGAGGTTACAGAGAAATTCTTGCGTGTTTTTTTTTTCTTTTTTTTTTTTACTATTATTGTTCATTTTTCATAAATCTCTCTGTTTGCTCTTCACACTGTAAACCTTAGATCTTTTTACTTCTCAATTTCAATAATCATAAATTGGACATCGTCTTCTATAATAGATTAATAGAATCAAGTAACAGAGAAACACAACGTTGTTGTACTGAGAGAAGGCAGTCTCAATATGAATTCGTCATTTATTTTCTCCGTCACATTTAAAAGGAATTGAGAAATAAGAAGATCTAGGGTTTACAGTGAGAACGTAGAGTTTTGAAGAATGAATAAGAGAGTAAAAAAAAAACGCTCAAAAAAGCGGAGGTATGCCTCGAACTCTGGCCCAGAGAATTTTTCAACCCACTTTTCACCAAAAGACAAAGGCGATATATTCATATATTTGTTAAAAGAAATTGTATATATATACGGAAACTTTATGGGTTAAATTATAACGCAGTTAGCAATTCCGTTACCATCGTTAACAGCCGTTAACGCGGACGTACGAATTTACCAAATTAAAAATACAAAGAATTTAAAAGACAACAACAATTAAACAAAGTATTTTTATTCCAATTTTAAAACTACACGTATTAAATTACTAAAAAAAAAATTGAAGGCGGTTTTTTTGTTTTTTTTCCCGAATTAAACTCAAATCCGAGACTGGAAATGAACTCAAGTCAATAAAAAAAATCCGCAACTCATTAAAAACGTGCAACTACTCTCCCCAAATTGAAATCTGAAACTTGAACTAAAACACAAATAAAAACCTTAATCTCAAACACAATAACCATCTTCATCATCCACAATCGATTGGATTATGTTCTCGCAAAATCAAATGACTCCAGATTCAATTTGTAAAATTGAGGTAAATTAAAGCAAAGATCTAATTTTTAAATCCTAAGTTAGATAGGTTTACAAAAAAAAAAAAAAAAAAAAAAAAAAAAAAAAAAAAAAAAAAAAAAAAAAAATCCTAAGTTAGATCATTTACGATTTAATTGCAAACCCAAATTTACATAAATTGAATTATTATACCTTAAAGGATTGAAAAGAAAGTGTAATGGTTTTAGAATCGACGAGTTTGGAAAAAGATTTATTGTTCATAACTGCAGATTTACCACAAAATTAGTTCAATTAATCGAGATATAGAGATGGACTGAAGCAGGAGATGAATTTAAGTAAGAGATGATTCGAAACGAAACTGATAGGAGAAGAAATAATTGAATTTCTAGCCAAAATAAAGGAAGATTTCGATCATCGTAGAAGAAACTAAAAAGAAAAAAAGAAAAACGTGTTTTGTCTTTCAATTTTGCGGGTCACCCGCAAACCCACAGCCCGCCATGGGCAAAATCCGCTTGACCCGCCACATGAACGGGCCATACCCGCAAGGCCCGTTTTTTGGGCTTCATTTTATGTTCGCAAGTCCGCTTCGCTATACTCCTTATTGGGCTAGGCCCGCGGGCTAGTATCTTGGACGGTATCCGTGCCATTCTTCGTCAATAGAGTAGATTTAGAGAATTAGATCCCAGTAAATAAAAAAAGTTATGCTAATAAAATTCTAGAACCCACAAATTAATTAGTTAAACATCGAATGAATGGATTTGTCTGGACCAATCAGTGTTGGAGGTAGGGTGTTAGTAAGGGGTCACTTGACCCCATAACTTTTAAGAAATTTTGTTTATTAGTCTTAATTATTTGGTGTTGATAATTTTGTTTAAAATGTTAATGTTGACCCCATTAACTTATCTTCAAATCATGTTTTTGCACCCCTTCTATTAATCTTTTTCTATTGACCCCTATCAAATTTATTTCTGGTTCCGTCACTGGGACCAATTATGAAAATTAGTCACCCAATCGGCCAATCCTATTAGGATTGTCTGGATTTTGGGTTTTGAGAAGCATAAATGACGAAATACAGAGAGTGATGAGAAAAAGAGAAGCAAGTTAATTTTCTGGATTTGTGTTTCGACCAAAAAGATGCAAGAGAGACAAATTAATTTTCTTTTTAATTATTTAATTAATATAATGTAAATGGCATTGCCGTAAATACATGAGAATTTGAGGTACATTAATGTATATACACTACAAAAAAAGGTTGTTTTACATCATTTAGTTTATATATTTGTATTAGTTATAAATAATGTAAATAACTTTTACATCACTTAAATAAGTGACTTTGAAAGTAGTGATGCAAATAATTTGTGTCAGTTTATTAGTAACCGATGTTAATATCCAAAATATTGACATCGATTATTGTAACGATGTTAACTTTTACATCAATTTATTTAAATGATGTTAGTATTTGTTTCGGTTAAAAAAATGATGTTAATTTTTTTTACATCAGTTTATTTAAGTGATTTTTTTCCAGTGATGATAATATTTGTGTCAGTTTTTAAACGTTTTTAATATTTCAAATAATTTACCAATAACCGACGATAAGGTTTAAAATGTAATTAATTTCCAAATTAGTAACAGATTAATAATCTTAAATATTTTCCATAATTATTATTTTATTGATTATTCATTTTTATAGGAAAAAACGTTTTCAATATTATCTATTAAAATCTTGATTAGATTTTTACTAATAATTATTACAAAAATGACTATTTACGACAAATGAAAAAAAAATCAGAAATACAATCGAATCAATACAGAGTATCAACGATTTCACAAAACTAAGCTATGATTTCTTCATGTTGATGTGTTTTATGAAACATATTTTGATTTTAATCCATGCTTTTTCCTTTCCATTGTCTAGGTGATGTTGTTCCTTCATCTTCAGAATTTCTAAATATGAAAAAAAATAAGAGAGAAAAATAAGAGTTGTATTTGAGAAATCAACAATATAAATTATAGAAAACAAGTGTTTGCCTTTGAAAGTATTAGAATAAGTGAGCGATATGACTTTGTTGAACATAACCGATTCACCAAAAGTTGTTTGGCGTCAATGAAAGAAGAATTTCTGTGGACTTGAGAAAAGTTTTGTGTTCTTGTCACTCTCCGTTTTTTTTTTCGTTTCCGCTGATTTTAGAAAAACAAATTAATATAAGATTTTATACTAAAAGAAAAAGCTTTTTAATTTTATTTATAATCATGTACAATATTTTTATTTGAGTAGTTACAGAGATCGTGGGTTGGTTAATACTATATTGAGTAGTGGAAACAATTTTTTAATAGATAATACAAAATTGAAGACAAAAAATAAAAGGTTAGGAATATAAAAAAAAAACATTCGGCATTTTTGATAAAAATTGATATTTAATTAAACGAGTAACTAGATCATCACCCGTACTAAAATACAGGTCAAATTTTATTTATTACAAAATTTATATAATATATATATTAGAATTAAATTTTAATATATTATAATAGTAAGTGAAAAAATATTAATTTTTTTGTCAGTTCCTATATACAATATTAGAATAAAAATAGAATTTTTTCTATAATACTCAATTATGGATTTATTTTTTAAAGATATGATAACGGAAAATAATTTTTTTTTTTAAAAGTAATATTTTTTGAATAATGAGTTAATTTATGTTAACAACCACAAAATAGGATTGTATATATTTCAGTTAGATCAAAAATTAAAATATCATAAATGAATCGCATATAAAACATAGATTATTTTTAATTAATTAAGAAAATTAGCTATTATTAAATTAATTTAGAAAACAAATTTCAATTTATAATTCTTTGGTTGTTGAAATAGAGATTTGTTTGAGCTCATCTAACTACAAAATTTGTTTGAGATTTATAATTACGGAATTTACCAATTATTCGCATAATCAAATATGTTATAAACATATATTTAGTATATAATAATACCAAAATCAACATGTGCGTGGAGTCTATATTTTTATTTTAAAATCTGAATATTTCATTTTAAAATATTGCTTGCAAAATCTATAATTCGTTAATTCTAAAATTGCTTGCGGAATCAAATTTTCAAATATTTAGAGGTGTCAAACCATATTTAAATGTTCTACACTATTTTTAAATATTCCAAATTAAAATCTTTAAATTTTTTTTGTAGTTTATAAAAATATGAATTTCAAAAAAAAAATTATATGAAATTAAATATAACTATTCAAATAGTTATAAAGATCAAAACTCATTTCATCATATAATATTTTATATTTAACCCGCTACCTATTATAAATTTTTTTTAAAATAATCAAATTAGAGTATTTATAAGTTTTAACTTTTTGAACTATTAAGTATTGATGATATTCTCTAAAAAT